TCAAATGGAAAGGGGGGTGATACGTCATTTGATAGCCATTTTTATTAGGATTATATCCTCGAAGTTTTAAGTTGTTATTATTTACCCTGCCGCAATAACACTCTTAACAATTTCACGTCCAATGCCTTCTAATGCTCTTGTGTTATAGAACATTAGATAAGAAAAATATAAAAAAGGATTTGGCAAAGCACGCTGACAAAAAACAACCAACGGGTTGTTGCTTTGGGTGTTTTTTGTGTGTATGAGTATGACGTTCTTCCAAAAAAATCTTCCAAGATAGATCAGAATTTTCCCACAATTAAGTACTGCTGTTGCCGAAAGCAAGTTTTTGGAATTTTATTTCTTTATTGGTATGTGAGTGAAGATGAAGAGCAACGCTTATTAGTGGCCTCAGCCATGAACACCGAAGAAAGCGTTGACATGGCGCCCAACGTGGGGCTTTAAGAATAATTAGTGGATTATTCCTTTTTCACGCCCTGCTGCCATTCTCTTTAAGACCCCTATATTTAGCCCAATTCTAAAATTATTCAGTAAAACCATACAGGTAAGTATTTTCAGCTTTTTTATTTTATACGTCTTCATTTCATTTAATCCATGTATTTAACTTATTTATTATACAGGGTATTCATTTTAAAACTTACCACCCCTATTATCTCGGAGTTGAAAAAATTTCGAAAAAATTCCTGAAACACATCAACTATAATTTGAGGGGGATGAGTTTTTATGCAAAATTCACCTCCCCCTCTCAACCCTCCAGCCACCACAACCACCCCCTAGAAAATCTTAAATGGGAAGGGGGGTCAAGTGATACATCATTTTGGAGGGTTTTTAATTCCATAAATTTTGGTACTAAATTTTAATCCCTAAGCTCAACTGTTTTGGAAATATTGACAGTTGAAAATTGACTTTTTTGCAACTTTGACAGGCTGTAAAACCTAAACGGTTAATTTTAGAGGAAAACCTATCTTACATTCTTGTCTTGGATTTTTATAAACTATCATTTAACAGCAACTTTGAATTTAATCCATGATCAAAAATTCCGGTCAAAAATTTAATCTCCAGTTAAATTCAAAGTTGGTGTCAAATGATAGTTTATGGAAATCTGAGATAAGAATGTAAGATCGGTTTTCCTCGAAAATAAACCGTTCAGGTTTTACAGCCTGTCAAAGTAGCAAAAAAGTCAATTTTCAACTGTCAATATTTCCAAAACCGTTGAACTTAGGAATTAAAATTTAGTACTAAAATCTATGGAATTAAAAACCCTCCAAAATGATGCATCACTTGCCACCCTTTCAAATCTAAGATTTTCTAGGGATTGGCTGCGGTGGCTGGGGGGTTGAGAGGGGAGAGGTGAATTTTGTATAAAAACTCTTTCCCTCTCAAATTATAGTTGGCGTGTTTCAGGAATTTTTTCAATTTTTTTTAACCCCGAGATTATAGGGGTGGTGACTTTTAAAATGAACACCCTGTATATTCCCAGCTAGAACAGTTAATAAAAATGGCAAATTACGATATGACGTGATGGATTTTGGGATTCTTGTGAAGGAGTAGACAAACAAAGACAAAATCAACTCAACTCTCATCGTGTTCAGTTTATGCGAATAAATCAAAAAAAAATTGATAACTTTTCATCACACCACCGGTCACTTGACCCTTTTTTTGACGAATCAAACGATACAAATACTGATTGTTTTGCAAATGCGGTCAAAATCCAGTCAACTCCATTATCTATAGGAAAAGAAAAAACTCTCGCAATCTTGCAGAAATGACAATTGCCTTTTTGGCATTTTGTCTGCGGTACAGACAATTGCTTCTGCAGTTAACATTAAAGATAAACCCAAACCCTCATTTTACGGGAATGATACTGAAGAACTTTTAGCTTACATCCTAAAAATGCAATTTTCAATAAAGACCAAACTCAGAATTCTGACAAAGCTGATTTTGCAGCAGGCACACTCAAAGGCCAAGCTGCAAAATGGTTTCAGCGTTATCGCCAACTTCCTCTCACTTGGGAAATGTTTAAGACTTTATTAATGCCAATATTTAATTTAATAGTACTGCCACTGTAACCAAATCAACTTCACAATATTATGGCAAAAATCAAGAAGAACCTGAAATGTGTTCTGTTTTCATTGTTCGGAAACAGGGTCTCTTTTACCGTCTTTGTCGAGATTCGCCTGAAGATAAATTGATTAACTTAGTTGTAGAACAATTCCTGACAAATATTCGTTCTAGATTTCGAGGTTTGTATTTCAATAATATACAACAGCTTTCACACGCAGTTATAGTCATAGAGATGATTTGAAGAAAGAGCAGATGCAAAATACGTGCAAATAGAAAAATTACTAAGATTAATTCTACAAATGACAGAAATGCTGGATTGAAAGGACCACCCTATGCTTATAAATTTTATGGTGATTGGCATTTCCATAATGAATGTTCACAAAATCCATATTTAGCTAGAAATGAAGAGAGAAATAACAGGTATTTCCAAAGAAATTCTTCACCCCAAATTGACAACTCAACATACTATCGACAGGGAAACGCCAACAGGGGAAGTCGCAATCCTGCGGTAGACCAACCCCTTAAAAATTATTCAGCAGGCAAACCAATAGATTCTCCAAAAATTCCTATATCAATAAATAATTTTCAAACCCTTGTAGACACAGGAGCCAGTATTAACTAAGTTTCCTCTAAATTTTTCAAAGTCCTTCCAGCAGTAACAAAAAGAAAAATTATTTTCGGATGTGGTCCTGTCGAAATTGAGATTCATGGTCCTTTCAAGATTAAGTATTTGCTTCTGGACATGATATTGGGCTTTGGAGTCGAATTTTCTTGTTGTACCTAATTTACTAGAAGACTGCATATTGGGTTTTCCTTGGTTTTTAGAACAAAAAGTTGTTGTGGATATTCAACTTTTCAAAATCATCTCATACAAAGAGCTCGACAAAGCGTTCCCGAATTTAATTTAAATCATTTAGATACGAAGCTTCAAAATAATTTTCAGAAACTGCTAACAGAATTTTCTTATCTTTTTGATGAATCGTTAAAACGACCAATAACACGAAGTATTCAACATGACATAAGACTAAACTCAAAAAGAGTGGTAAAAACAAAACCATATTCCTCAAGTGAACATAAAAAACTTATTTCAAATGAACAAGTTAGTGAAATGATGACTACTGGTGCTATTGAACCTTCTGTTTCACCCTATTCCTCATCTCCCGTAATAATCGAACGAATGGGAAAAAAGCCAAGATTCTGTCTTGATTACCGCAGATTGAATGAGATAACAGAAGATGAACCTATTAGATTACCTAAAATTCATGAAACACTAAAGGAATTGGGATCTGCGTCAGTTTTTACATCATTGGATCTAAAAAGTAGATATTGGCAAGTGGGCTTATCAGAAAGGCCTAAACCTTCAACAGCATTTTCAACATCAGATAAAGGGCATTATCAATTTACAGTGATGCCCTTTGGACTTAAAAATGCCCCTAGTAGTTTCCAAAAGCTTATGTCGCAGGAAGTTGTGACAGGTTTTCTACATAAACTCATCCTGGTTCATCTTGATAACATAATTATTTATTCCAAAAATCACGAAGATCATAAAAAGCATTTAAGGTTAGTGCTAGAAAGACTAAATATCCACAAACTTCAATGTTCAATAAAAAAATGTAAATTTGCTACAAATCAATAAAAAAGAACTTCAAGCATTTTTAGGTACAGTAAATGGGGCTTAGAGAATATATTCCTAAATTGGCAGAGATTACTGCTCCCCTAACTGATCTTCTTTGTAAAAACAGTTAATGGAAATGGGATGACCGTCAGAGATGTATGTTTAAGAAAATAAAAACTGTTTTCTTAAATTCTATTCAATTACATGGACCAGATTTTTCACTACCGTTTGTTTTACAAACAGATAGTAGTGAGGTGGGAATGGGAGCAGTACTCTATCAAATTGGAATAAATAGAGAGAAACAAATTATATCATACTCAAGTGCTCGTCAAAATAAAGCAGAACTTAAGTATCATATAAATGAGAAAGTGTTTAGCCGTAGTGTGGGCGATTAAAAAATATAGATTATATCTTGAAGATAGAAAATTCACACTTATAACTGATAATAGGTCATTATTATGGCTAAATCGTAATGCTGACGCTGAAGCGAAATTAACGCGATGGTCTCTTCTTCTGGCAGAGGAATAAAATAATATTGTTATTTAATTTAAGTAGGTATTGTCATTCAACAGTTCAGTTTAAAATGGTTCATGTTTATCCACATAAAAAAGCTGTTGTTTTGTTATTAGGTAGTAAAAACCCCACAGTTCAGATAATGGAAAAAAATCATTTTTACTAACTTTGAGAAAATTATGTAGTAGCAACTAAAAACTTCGGGGATATAATCTTAATAAAAATATCTATCAAATGACGTATCACTCGACCCCCCTTTCCATTTGAGATTTTGGGAGAACATGTCACCCCCACTTAGGGTGACATGTGAAAATTGCAATAAAATGCGTGTCCCCCAAAAAACAAAAATTGAAGTGTCTGAGCGATTTTTGATTAATTACTTAACATCTGAGAAAACCTGGGTGGGAAGTTTTTCGTGCCCGACCCTGTATATTCATTCAGTCAAGTCCTACATTTAAAAAAAAATCTTAATTGTTTTAAGCAGTTGTACGATTTAGCATGTTCAATCAATAATTAATTGATGAATTCATGAAAAAAAAAAAGAAAAAAAAAACTTAACATATTGATTTGCATTGTTGGTAGTGAATGGCCCTATAGTATTTATCGGCGTTCAAAATACGGATCTCATATTACAATAAAAAACCTACTTCTTACCAGAAGTGTGCTCAATTATTAGTTTTTCAGATTTGAACGTTTCCTCAGAAAAATAAAAATTTCAAAAAAATAACTAGGAAATTTATTTTTCAAAAATAATGAAACACGCTACCTACGTAACCTTTTTGTTATAAAAAAACATACGTTCTTGCGCCAAAATAAAGGAAAAAAATTCGGATGTTATTTTGAACAAAAAATCGCTTTGATTATAAATCCATGAAATTCAAATAACAATGTATACATTTTATTCAAACTCAATACAAATATTCATTAGATACTATAAAATCTATAAACTAATATTTCTACACGAATAAATATAAAATATTGAAAAAAAAATACAACAAAAATCGAATTTTTGAAGACAATATAAGCTCTGTTCCAATCGACATGAGAACCGTTCCAAAACCAGTAATTTCCAGTTGCCCACCTATTTTTCAATAAGTTGAACGTTTATCCTACTTGACAAATGAATTTATCGACTGGAAATTACCGTTCTAGAACGGTTCTCATGTCGGTTGGAACAGAGCTATTCCAGTTGTTTGACTTTTAATATTAATAATGTCAAAACTGTATAAAAATGGCAAGTACCAAATTTTGAGAAACATTTCAAAGAAGAACTACCTTTACAGATTTTTGTCTAATTTATTTGTTATTGTGAGTTAAGTGCTGCGTTCAGGTATTTCATCTTATAATTAATTTGTACAAGACACATCAACAAGGCTATCAATTCAATCTACGAGAACCTTGATAAAGCAAAAACGAAAAATACTAAAAGAGCACTGGCTGTTGCAATTATAGATCCAGATGCGCATCCAACATTTTCCATATAAACAGCGTATCTTAAATCGTCAGGGAAACGGCATAGGATATCTAGAAAAAGAAAATAAGTAAAAAAACGGATTAGCTAAGTCCTGTTTGAATCACACCTAGACCATGAATATTGTGATTATGTAATATGAACGTAACTAGATAGCTAAATTTTGCAAATTCAGTAACGTTACAATGGAACAACATTTCAAGGAAAATGAAATGTTTTTCGCTTAGTGGGATGCTCCTATTGAAATAATAATGGATAGGTACTTACTGTTGCATTTATTGTTCGAATTTCCACCAGTAATTGATAGATAAATTGGCGGGCAAGTCGAAACAGTATAGTCACTACAGTAACTGGTGATGTCAATAACGTATTCCTCACTTGTAAGAGTCTTACAGTTGTTTGATGAACTATCTGGCTTGCTATTGTCCCTTGATAAGCAGACCGTAATTGTACCATATCCCTAAAAAAAATTGGGTCAGAAGTCCGCTATTTTTATTTCTAAATCAATAAGAACATACAAGAATTTGACAATTGAAAACTTAAATAGAGTCGACATTTTTTTGTACGATGGCAGTCAATGTGTTTGCTATGGATTAGAAAAATAAAAATGTACCTACCTCTTCTCTTATTCTAAGATTTCTAGTTTCACCGCCGGAATAGAAATAGTTTGGCGAAATTCTATAGTAGTTTGCACCTCTAGGTTCAACATAATCTCTTATGTAGAATGTGCTCGATGCTCCAGTAAATTGCGATGTACATGATGGATTTACAATAGCTCTTGGAACTAAACAATAATAATAAATGTATGGATGAATGAATAAATTATCAGCAACAGTTACCGTCCTTAATACTTGTCACCAAACTTTGTCCAGTCATTTTTAAACTTTCCTCAGATGTCGTTTCAGTTAAAGTTATTGCATTTTTGTTTGTATTGGATACTATTGTACTATAATCACTGGGGCTGCCACTACCAAGCACCAGGAAATTGATATCTTAAAGAATAATAATTACTAACATTAAATGCAAATTTTTATTTCAAATCTTTACCAGGTAATACTCTATTGAATACTTCTTTTCTTTGTAAAAGAATATTCTTTTGATCATCTGTCAAGCCTGTTTTGGGTACCAGTAAAACAACGGTAGATTCTGCACCAGTGTATGTATTGTTATTCAACTTTTCATATCCATAGTTCTCCACAGTTTGGAAAATTGTTACATAATCAAAACCAGAAGTTTCTAAAATGACGAAAATAGATTATAATCTATATAGGTAGTAGGTATAGCTTTAAGAAGCTTACCATTCGAATGTACAGTCTCGTTGTATCTCAAATAAAACTCGGATAAGTAGCTGGTACCACTTTGAGTTAAATTTCTCAAGCTGGTACCGCCGTATAAAGTGTACTTGGTTTGGTACCTGTTAACATCAATGTTATTCAAAACGTACCTAAAATAAGGATAACTGGATGTTAGTTCACAAACAATAATAATTTCCAGAGCAAAAAAACTTTGTACACATGCACTTACGAAAGAACAGGTTGAATGGTGCTAAATTGCCAGCTTGAATCGATAAAGATGAGTAAATCGGTGACAACTCTTTCAATTGTAGTATTTCCTCGACATCCAAAGTCATCTGTCACCATTTTAGCTAAAAAAATATAAATCGTTTTTTTCACATTTTTATTTTGTTTGAAGTTCTGGACGATATGACGAACACCATATTAAAGTGTAACAGTTCAACATTTTAATATTATAGAATCCATTATTATCATTATTTTTTTACTTACGTAAATAAGTGTTAAATGCTGAAATCCCTGAGTTAGAAAACGTTTCAAAGGAAGCATTGCTCAAAGATACTCCGGAAATAGCGGCTAAATTTAAAACTGGCATAAAATTATAAAGCTGCGTTCTCATCGTTTCAGTTGATGTCATTGTAGTATAAAGAACATTTCTGTTGCAAGCTTTGAATGAACTATCAAAAACTCCTTTTTCGAATGGGGAATAATACATATCAATTAGTTGAGATATTCTTATATCGGAAAAGGTACTTGTGAAGTTACTCATCTTTAAACCTAAGTATAGACCGTCTAAAGCTCCTCTTAATTCTGCATCTGTGGCTTGAAGTAAATTATTGTTTTGCAGGAAGAAATATTTTGGATTTATAGTACTATTCCATCCTCCTGAAGCACCGAGGGAAACATCTGGATTTGCTTGGAACAATGATGCTTCACATAATTCACCTATAACACGAGATACAAATATTCTTGATAATTAAAACGTAATTGCTTACCTATGATTGTACTAGCATATCTATTATCGACTAAACCGTTCTGTATATTTTCCTGATTAAGACCAGTAGCAATACCAGCGAGTACGTTTCCCGCTTTCATTGTTCCAAACTGTGAATAAACAACACCCGATTCAATCGGACACTGACTCACGTTTCTACCCAGATTAGCTGCTAGTCGCCCTCCTGCTACGTCTTGATTAATTAATTCTGTGTTTTCCAAATCTTCCCTTACATTCCTACGACGCCGCATAAAAATTCTTGAAGTATACCTGGATGATCTGGAGCATTCTAAAGATTCATTATCTCTTTTAAGATCATCTATGGTGTTGGATATTAGATAATGGAGAGAGCACTGGAATTAAGATAAACATATTGAAATTTACATGTTTTACTATAGCGATAATCTCACCCTTTCAAAAGGAGTGAGATCCCCCATATTAAGAGTTGTTTGTGCGCTTGGAAGTAAGTATTGTAATAAAATCCTAAATTTGTAACGTTCTGTTCGGCTGGACGAAAATGGCACGCCAAATCTTTCATCTACTGTTCTATCCGTTCTTGAAATTCCATCTTGTCGAAATCTAGAATCATATTTCACAAATGCCAAGAATAAGTGGAGAGCAATATTAGACACTGTAAAGGATAATATATGTATTATAGGTAACATCTTCCGATCTAAATTAATCGATTGAAATTGCATGGAGTTTTGTTCCAGATTTCCCAGGATTTGCTTGGTTTTTGATTGCTGCTTGTAGTTTTGTTAAGTTTGGTGCATCAAGTCGAAAAATGATAATGATTCTACAAAAATAACGTAAATCAAAGATGGCTATGATTTTTTTTCCAAATTGTTCACTGCTTTTTTCTCTTATATAGGGTGCCTCGACAAGAACTTGAATTTTGAATCGCGCGCCATTTCTGTCTGTCAAGCGTCAAGTCGGCCATATTGGGCATGTGTTCGGTGAAAACCTTGACATTTACTAAAATGCCGCGTTATACTCTTGAGGAACGTTTATTAATTATTGTAAAAACTCATTACAAAAACGGAGAAAGGAAAGAAACGAGACAAGTCTTAGGCGTCGTCGTCTTGGAAGGCCTGCCGAGAACATCGCCGCTGTGAGAGCCACTGTTACAAAATTCATCCGATCCAAGGACTTCCATCCGGCATCGCTGCCAAGAATCAAACATCAGTCGCAGTACGCTACAACGAATTTTGAATCTTCATGCCTATAAAATACAGTTGAAACAAGAGCTGAAGCAATCTGATCATAGACATTGCAAAGACGTTTGAAAATGGATATTGAAACAATTGGACGATGCATTCTAGAACAAAATAATCTTTAGCGATGAGGCGCACTTGGTTTCAGCTCTTGTGTCAACTGTATTTTGTAGGCATCATGAATAGGTATGCAAATCCTTTTCAAAATTTGTTGTAGCGTACTGCGAATGATGTTTAATTCCGGACCGCAATGCCAGATGGAAGTGCTTGGATGTTCGGTAACACTGGCTCTCACGGTGGCGATTTTCTCGGCAGACCTTCCGAGACGACGACTCCTAGCACTTGTCTTGTTATTCAGTGCAAATTTCCGCTCAAATTTTTTGTATGTAATCTGCGAATTGTCACTGTAAAGTTTCCTCTATTTCTGTAATGAGTTTTTACAATTAATAAACGTGATAAATGTCAATGCTCTCACCGAACACATGCAGAAAGACAGAAATGGCGCGCGATTTAAATTTCAAGTTCTTATTGAGACACCCTTCAGAAAACGTCATTTTCTCAAGCAAAAATCTGACAAACAAAGAAACAATAATTCCAACAACGTGTCATTGTGACATTTATTTATGGAAATCGACGCGACATACGTTTTCGTAATCAAAGCACTCTTTGATTTAGTATTTTTTTGAGGACCCGTTATATTGACAGAATGTCTTATATTGCTTGCTATTTTTCATCCTGGTAAGGGGCTTGGCAGGATATTGATTTGATCTGTTCCCTAGGATAGTTTTGGCCTTACCTCTGTAATATAAGATATGAAAGTACTCGGGTAGATATTGTTGGGTTAGCATCTTCCAATTTTCTTATGTATTCGATTAATAAATTTATTGTAGCTGGAGGTCTTTCGTTGGCTATTGTAATTCCTGGTAGAGCGGTGTTATTGTAACAGTCTAGGAGACCTTCTGCTACATTGTTAGCTTAAAAACAAGAAAAATATGCATATTAACGACTAGGTACACAAATTGTACTTATGTAGTTACAAGCCATCAAACTTAGCATACTGACATTTACCACATCTTGAGTTTGCAGTTCGTGAGTTTCAAAGTAGGCATCCAACATAAAGCATTAACAAACATTTATAAATTTGTGAAAATCTAAGTAGCTGAAAAATTATTTTTACTTTGCGGATTTCTTTAAAAAAGGTGAGTCAGCTCTGTGAATAGTAAAATGTTGATGGTTCGCGGATGAGATTGTTGTAGTGAGTATAGGGATATTTGAAAATCAACCGTGGTAGAGAGGAACTGTGAACTTTATCATTGGGATTTAAATAATGGTTCTTTAATTTGATGAATTGATTGGAAGGTACAAGCATTTTTTTTTAAATAGCAATATAGAGCACAAATAATTTTATTTGTTCAAAAAATGGCAGGCTAACTTGATAACTTCCCATACATCAATGTGTTGTGGAAAAACAGATTTTTTTTTCCAGTACGTACCTCTCACTCTCATTGCGCTTACTATATGAGAAGGTATAGGGTGCGCCTCGCTTGAAACATTTTTTTTTCTCCAAATTTTGTGAAACACCTCAAAAGTTGAGCACAGCTTATAATGAAGCCATCAAAGGGCCTAGAGGGCGTAGTAACATTTGCAAAAAAGAAACACTTAATTTTGATATCCAATTTTCGAAGAGAAATTTAATAGCCAAAAAGTAATGCTTGACAAAAATTATACCTTCGTATAATCGTATGCAAATGAAAATTAAAAATAAATTATCTAGTTATATGTAAGTTATATTCACCAATTGCCACGCTATTTAATAATCAATTATCCATTTTTTATATGCTTTAATGAACTTACCCCTTTTCTCTATTACTTTTTAAATACATTGTTATAAAGTAAACATCAAATTGTTATATCGGCATCAAATTCTTATTTAAGCTAGCGCAGTCCCATAAGGAACGTTCATTTGTTTTCAAGCTTTTGCTGTAGCAATTTGATCCACATATTTTCTTTTGTCACCTTATTTTGATTAATAAAAGAAATGTTTTTTAAAATACAAGTTTCTAAATCGAAAATATTATTGGCGCAGTCGTAGGATACTCAGAGTGCTTAAGTTTCGGAAAGACGATACAGTCGTAATCCGTCGCGAAAACTTCAAAAGACTGAAGAAAGTTCGAAAAAGTGAATTCTTCGGAAAAGTGAAATTTGGATTATCAGTGCTGCTAAAAAAGCAACGCACAAGACTGAATATATTAATTTTAATTTTAAAATAAAAATAAAACCTTTTAAATTTTTAATTTTTAAATTTGCAAAATAATTTCTTTTAATAATTCAAAGAAAAGTACATGTCAGATTCTGAAGAAGAAATCGAGAATCTGTTGACTCAATTTTATTTAACTCATCTTTACAATTCTAATTCGAGAAGTAACAACCAAAATCGAAGACCAACCGTAACAATGAGTGAAAATTTAAAATCAATTGTACAACTTATCAAACCTTTCAGTGGCGAAGGCCAATATTTAGAATATTTCATAAGAAACATCAATGAATTTTATCATACCTATTACACTGGTGAAAATGCCCAGAAAGAGTATGTGGTTACCGCCATAAAATCAACATTAATAAATGACGCGGGAAATTTTCTTATGGCACGTCCTGATTTACAAACATGGACCGATATAAGAGAAGCGTTGAGAATTGAATATGGTGATCAATATTCTACTATTCTACACAAAATTTGGTACAAGAGCTTATGTATACCACTAAACCTAATAAAGAAACAATTATTGAGTATTTGGATAAACTAAAAGGTTTAGTTCAAAGAAGTACATCTAAAATCATGTGTGACCCAAATTTAACGGTAGTTGCAAATGTCTTGATTGAACAAAACGAAAGTATTGCTATTCAAAATCTAGTCACTACTGTTCGCCTTACGAGTCTAGCACTATGGAAAGAATGCGGATAAAAACATTGTAATATTGCCTATTTGAGTTCCAATTGAAAATACCTTAATATTTATCTATGTTACACACCTACATTTATAAGGAAAAAGTAATATTTAAAAACGCCGCGCGCACGCCTATGTCAGGCAGCATAAAAAGCTCGAAATGAATGGCGTTATTCCACCTTGCCCTTCAGACGTCGTACTGCTAGACTCGTAAGGCGAACTTTAATTCGCGAACCGAATTAAGAACAATTTTAATGTTTCAAAATCCACAAACGTTGGATGCAGCTAACAAATTTGTGTTAAATTATCAACTAGCTAAAAACCACATAAAATTTAGTAGAGGACTTAATCATTCTACTAATCAAAATCAAAATCAAAATTTTTAAATTTCAAAAACAAAAATACGCAATTTCGTTCACAACAAACTTATACTCAACAAAAACTTCAATATAGACAAAAAACACCCTATGTACCACAGAAACTACAGTTTCCATCCCAACCTATTAACATACAACCTAAAAAGGACTACGTACCAAGAAAGTTTCCTACTAGTTCAGAAACTTTTGGCAAAAATTACAATAATGCTTTTCGAAAGAACACGAATCAACAATTTTCGAAACCCACACCTATGTCCGGAGTTTCAGTGCAACCACGAGCACAAAATCAACATCAATACAGACCCAATAACTTTTTCAAACCTGACCCAAATGCAGGACCTTCAAAATATACAATCGAAGAGATTAATAATATTTTTGAAATAAAATAACCTAACCCTAACGAAAATTTCGAAGCTGAAAAATGTTCCGAAAATCAAAATTATTATGCACAGACAAATTTTGAAGAAAATCAAGTCGAAACTGAAGACAAAAATTTTCAGTTACAAGCCTTGGATGCAATGAGTCAGCATTAACTTTAAATGCTTATCAAATCAACCAATTACCTTTTATTCAAATAGACTATCCACCGTGTAAATTATTAATTGACACAAGAAGTCATGCCTCTTTAATAAGACCCTCAATCGTAGAAGAATATTTTTCAAATTCTATGATTAATTATATTCATAGCCCATTATTTTCTCATACAACATCACTCACACTCAATAACTTAGCGGAAATAAGTTTACGTTATGCTGATGAACAGTTTGAGACATTCAATATAGCACAAATGATTTTCTAATAAAGTCAGAAAATGATGAATATGCAAATGACCTGATAAAGGCACTACGTATCAATCATTTAAACTCAGAGAAATTTGATGCTTTTAAACACGTAATTAAAGTTTTTCCAAAAATTTTTCACAAGCCAAATGAAAAATTGACATTTACCAATCAAGTCAAACATCAGATTAAAACAACAGATGAAATACCAGTGCACACGAAAACGTGTAGATATCCGCATGTGCATAAACAAAAGTTAATTCTCATTTCTCAAATAAGAAAAATGTTAGCAGATAACATAATCAGACCATCCTGTAGTTCCTGGTCATCCCCTGTGTGGATAATACCTAAGAAAGAAGATGCCGCAGACATACAAAAATGGAGAATGGTCGTTGATTATCGAAAGATAAATGAATTGATGATAGATATGCACTACCTAATATCACTGATATATTAGAACGACTTGGTCGTAGTAATTATTTTACGACACTAGATCTAGCCTCTGGCTTTCATCAAATCGAGATGCATGAAAATTCGATACCCAAGACAGCATTTAATGTTGAAAATGGTCATTACGAATTTAACAGAATGCCCTTTGGATCAAAGCACGCACCAGCAACCTCTCAAAGATTGATAGATAATGTATTACTAGGATTACAGAATAGAATATGTCTAGTATTATTATATCATCCATGTATGATATAATAATTTTCTCCACTTGAGAAGTTTAATTTTAAAATACAATTAGACAAATCAGAATTTCTACACAAGACAGTAGAATTCTTAGGACATGTAATTACATCAAATGGAATAGAACCGAATCCAAAAAAGATAATGGCAATTAAAAAATTCCCAATACCAAAGACGGTGAAAGAAATAAAATCACTTTTAGGATTAGTAGGTTATTACCGAAAATTCATAATGAATTTTGCCAAATTGATAAAACCAATAACATCTTGTTTGAAAAAAGACAAAAAAATAATACACAATGCAGAATTTCTTAATAGCTTCGAAACTTGTAAAAGTGTATTAATAAATGACCCACCCCATATTACAACATCCTGACTTTGAGAAACCTGTCTTATTGACAACCGATGCCTTAAACTATGCAATTGGAGCTGTTTCATCTCAAGGTCCTATCGGAGCTGATCTTCCCATTGCATACGCATACAGAACCTCAAACCCAGCTGAATGTAATTATTCGACGATTGGAAAAGAGCTTCTAGCAATCGTATGGGCAACAAAATATTTTCGACCTTATCTTTTTGGTAGAAAATTCACAATCTTGTCAGATCACAAACCTCTACAATGGCTATTTAATGTAAAACAACCCAGTTCTAAATTAGTCAGATGACGACTAAAATTATCCGAATTTGATTATGAGATCAAATACAAAAAAGGAACATTAAACATGAATGCAGAAGCACTATCAAGAATTCCTGCAATACAACTTCATGCCATTCAAAAATCAGATCCAAATGCCAGAATAACATCTTCAGATGAAGAATTTCACAAAAAATTAGGAGTTATGCTGAAAGATACACCATTATGTAATGATGAAATTACAGCAAAATACTTTACGGGCTCTAGAGTATATCTTCCTAAACAAAGCGAGATAGCTGAAGAAAACGAGATAACAATGTCTGAATCATCTCAATCAACAAAAACAGCATCAGAAAAAGAACCTGAAGGGGAACCTAAGAAAGAGAGACCCAAAATAAAGATATTATCCCAACTAATAATACCTCCAACAAAAGAGAAGGAGGAAGAAATTCCCATAGAAATAGGAGAATCTTCGAAAACTCAAAAAAGGAAAAGACAAATAACACTTTCGGATGACGAACGAACAGTTTCAGCCTTATCTGAAAATGAACAAACAATACATACGTCTATGGAAAATCCAATATTAGGAGCTCCATATACCAAGAAACATGTAAATATATTTGGAAATTAAATTGTATTTCGATATTCCAATAATAACACAATTAGGAAAGAGATAATCAAACTATTTGGTAATAAAAAGAGAATAATATTCTTCTCACCAAATAATCCAACATCACAAATTACTGGTTTAGTAAAGGAAGACATGCCACCTGGTATTTATCGCCTTCATTTCCTAAATAAATCTTTAGAACCTATTGAGATACGAGCATTACAAGAATCGTTTAATTCGAATTCGTTTACTTTGTACATCTCGAACTCTTTATTAGAAGACATCACAGAAGTTGATCTTCAACAAGAGAAAATTCAGCAATATAATGAGACTAAAACCTCTCATAGAGGAATCACTGAAAATGTTGCAGCCTTAAAGAAAAGATTCTATTGGCCCAATATCGCGAAAGACGTACAGAATTATGTCAAAGCATGCGAGATATGCAATAAAACCAAGTATGAACGACAACCATACAAAATCATATTCAAACCAACACTCATTGGTACGAAACCCTTCGAACATATTTATGTTGACACATATATAATCAATAACCAGAAATTTCTGACCATTATTGATAGCTTTTCAAAATTTGGTCAAGCCTCTCCTGTAAATACGAAAACAGCTGTAGAAATATCATCACAGTTATTGAAATATTTTAGTGATCATGGAATACCTCAAAAAATCAGATAATGGAGCAGAGTTCAAAAATGCTATAATGACAGATTTTTGTACATTATACAAAATTGAGTTTCATTACACAACTCCAAGAAACCCGAACGCGAATAGTCCAATCGAAAGATTCCATTCGACACTACGTAAAAGTATGACGAGTTTAAATATCCAGAACCCGAATAAAAGTATTATTGACCTAATGACAATCGCTATATTGAATTATAACAACAGTACTCATAGTACAATGAATCACACCCCTTTTCAAGTGATTGAAGGAGATTTGAATTATGCCATACCAATTGAACAAACAGAAAATAAACTAACAACTGACTATACAACAAGTTTGGCAGAATCCCTTGCAAATTTGAATAAAGAAATTCAAGAAAAATTGTCAGCGAAACAAACAAAGTCTTTAGAATCACGCAATAAAAATCGTGAACCCGAACCAGAATTACAAGACCCAATCTTCATAAAACAATTTAATAGAGACAAGATAAGTCCGCGTTATGATAGCAAAACACAGAATCGCTTTGCTAAACAAAATTTTAAACGACAATAATTTATTTCAGGTACCCCGAGATGAGTCCTTTATTTTTTACCAATTTCATTAGGAACTAATTACGTAGCAACTCAACATAACACGGCCCATTATCACATAAACACGACAATTATGATACAAAGTATCCATAAACTGGAAATTACCCTAATGAAATTATCTGACACTCTAAACAAAACAACATGGTCAAACCAATTTGTTGCACTGTTTCAAACAAATATTGAAAACAGTCATTCTCAATTTAAGATTATGAAACAAGTCATAGAAACCTATCAAGACCGAAAACGAAACAAAAGAGGTCTATTAAATTTCATGGGCACAGCACAAAAATGGCTCTACGGAACCCTAGATGCTGAAGACTGCGCAAGATATGATTCTTATATCCAGACGCTCAATGATAATCCAAAGACTCTCAATGAAGATCTAAAAACACAAGCTCAAGTATTGAAACAAGTTACAAAAACATTTCACGATCAATTTCTAACTATTGAATCTAACCAAAAGGTTATCACAGGAAAATTACAAAATATTTCCTTGGAAAACCAAAATTTCCATTCAATGCTAACCTTTAATCTAATATTGAACAATATCAATATCCAAAGTAATAAAATAAGGAATCTAATTGATCACGTGCAATTAGCAATAAATTTTGCACAATTGGGAATAATGCATTACAGCATAATGAATTAAATCAAATATTAACAAATATACCCAAAAGTCAGCAAATACCTTTTGATAATGAAATCAAGTATTACGAGACAATGAAAACTCAAGTAAAAATCCAAAATGAGTTGATTATATTTGTTATACACACACCAATGATTGATCCCAAGCCCTTTATATTGTATAAAATTTATCCAATTCCTATCCAAGAACTTACCATTAGGAATAAGTACCCTTACCTATTACTTACTACGGACATTTACTACAATACTTTATGGGAATGCCCGAAAGTCGAAAATGTGTATCTTTGTAACCAAGAAAAGCTGAAGCAAGGAGAATCATGTGTCTATGACCTGATTACTGATCTACCACAACAATGTCCTTTCACTAAAGTGAAATATGAGAAACCAACAGTGAGACAACTCCCGAATGGACAACTATGAGTCATTTCTAAGAAAAGTCTGACGATAGTTATTCAATGTGACAAGACAAACCATATGGAAATTATAACCAATCCAACGCTAGTTTCTTTTAAAAATGCTTTGTGAAAATACAAAATCAAACATTTCCAAAAACCAGCGAGAACTTCAATTTTGAACTGAAGATTCCAAGAATAGACATCCCTGAACTTCCAGAGAACGAAACAACATCGGAACTTCAATAAATCAACCAAGAAGACTTGGAAGAAGCCTCCAAGACGACGAAACAGATAAGAGTTCACAATATTAAAGAATTGTCTTTTGAAAACTCTTATTTGAACATGTATAATCATGGGTTTGAGTCTTGCTATTTTATTTATAATTTTATTGTTTTACTGTTTTAGGAAGTTTAAAACTGCCAACAAAGGTTGTGCAAATTGAATTGCCTGATTTGAACAACATCTTAAGGAGGGAGGAGTTATATTACCCAATTGCCACGCTATTTAATAATCAATTATCCATTTTTTATATGCTTTAATGACCTTACCCCTTTCCTCTATGACTTTTTAAATACATTGTTGAAAAGTAAACATCAAATTGCTATATCGGCAATAAATTCTTATTTAAGCCAGCGTAGGAACGTTCCTTTTGCTGTAGCAATTTGATCCATATATTTTCTTATGCCACCTCTATATTTTAATCAATAAAATAAATGTTTTTTAAAATACAAGTTTCTGAATCAAAAATATAATTTGTATTCCTATTATTTAGCATTCGAATTGGGTAATTTGGCAACACCCTTATCTAAAACGATTATTGATGCATGTAATATTGCTTGGTTTTCACCTTATTTAAATATAACAAAGCTTATATAGTATAAATTTAAGGAATTACAATTATCAGGCACAAATCAGTGAGGACAATAGATGAAATAAACTGACCAAAGTGTGCCAAACGCCCAAATCAAAATATGCTCGAGACTTCTAGAAAATACTAGTACTTACCGATACTTGTTTGGCAATGGCAATGCTCCAAAAAAGTTAATAAGGTCACTAGCACAGAAAGCACCGGTAAACATTCCATAACAGCGAATTCGTCCTGAACTATATTAAGCAACTGTAAAAAAAAAACTAGTTATAATTACCTCAAATAGGTGTGATGAAAAAGTACGATTAGTCACCTTGCGATAAGATTACTAAATATCAAAAACACTGCATACTTTCAAGTGAGTAGGTACCATTATCTAGTTTAGGATAAATAAATAAAACTGCCATCAGAGTATTAACAGATTAGAAATTAATTTTCATTTGTGAATTTAACGTAAATGATTATTGGGTAAGTTATATTTCAATTGAAATATATCAACAATAAATTAGTAACCCTCACGGTATTCAATACAGGCCTTTCAGATGTTTTTTTTTTTTTAACTAAATTTCTAAACACAAATATAAGGACAGATTCAACTTCGAAAGATTTGAATAGAATAGAAATGTGGTTCTCAATTAACTTCTCCTGGAATAAGGCTGGCCAGATCGTCAGAACATCTCCCATGGTAATAGCGATAGAAGAACGACAAGACGGCCACCTTGCGTCTATGTTCGAGAGATTGCAATGAATCGGTGAGAGTTGGATTATTGATCATTTTTACTCTACCTAATAAAGCCATAACGGAAGCTTGGGAGCATCGCTCCAAATGTGAGAACAGTATTCCATACATGGTCTGATTTGAGCCTTATAAAGGAGAAGAAGTTGCTCAGAAGTAAAGAAGCTTCTGGCACGAAACCTAATTTTTGAGAAGCGTATTTGGAGATCGAAGATACATGGTTATGCCAAAACAAGTCGGTCGATGCGGTCACCCCAAGAAGAGATAGGGAGGTATTGATAGAAAGGTTTTGTCCCGAAATCCTTGAAACTGGGTTATCATCGGCGGAAGATTTCTTATTTGAGAATAATGTTGCTTGAGTTTTGGAAGCATTGAATTTGACTAGGTTGTAAAGGTTCCAGTTGGTAATGGTGTCTAGATCACTGTTGATAGAGTGAATCTGTTTGTCAGAAGAGAATGATCCATCAAGCTACGATCGTCCGCAAAGCTGTATATAGGGCTTCATGTCAAATTTAACAGATCCTTTATAAAAATGAGAAACAGTGTTGGAGACAGAATGGAGCCTTGGGAAACGCAGTGAGGAGACACACTATCGACCACAACATGCAGTGACACGCCTTCCAAAAAGCTGCCCAGCCAATGGCAAAATTCGTTCACGATGGAAGTTTGCTGAGCAGACCTTTAATTGTGCCACACCTGATCAAAAGCCTTGGAGATGTGTAATGCTACAATTCTGAATTCGCCATGTTTTTCGAGAGTCGAGCTCCAAATATTACTGATGTACGCCGGCAGATCCCCTGTTTTTTTTTTAGAACGGAACCCGTACTGCTTGTCTGAGTTTGACCTTATTGGCTTCGAGGTATTTAACCAGTTTCAGGTTTTCCATTGCTTTCGAAAGTATGGATATAAGTGAGATGGGACAATAATTGCTAGGAAGAGTTTTTTTGCCCTTTTTCGTGATGGGCTGCACTCTGGTACATTTCCAGATAGACGAGGAAACGCCTCGCCTGTAAGAGAGTGAAAACTGTTTGCAAGTGTTTGTGGCGCTCTGCCATTGTGGAATCAGATGCAAATTGTTTTGCAAAGAGATCTGCTTTTTGGAATTATTGTCCTTAACTAAAGGTGAAAAGAAAGATTTGAAAAGGACCAAAATATTCTGACGGGATTGAAAAAAGACTCATCTCACATCTGTTTTATTGAAAATTGCCTCCTCACTTTCCAATATCAGGATGGGCCTATTTTGATGAACTTTCAACATAACATATATTTTCATATTCTTCATTTTTTCATTTATACGCTTAGATCTTTGAGTTACAGTCAACTCTAAACTTTATGGTACAAAAAATATAGTTTTTTGTTTATCTTCTAGTTGGCCTTCATCCCAAAATTCAGGTTACATCCAAGTGAACAATTCGATTATTAATTTCTAAAAAAAATTACCAGAATTTGTTTTAGTGTATAGATAAAAATAGTAAATAGTTACAAGCAAACCATCTAACTTTTAAAAATAATGGGAGTTCCAATAAGAGTTTTCGGATGTTTTTTTCAATTCAAACGAAAACCAAACTAGGGAACATTTAATACTTTATAACAATAAGTAACATGATCGTTTACAATTATACGTGAAACACAATATCCAAGAAATGGTCACCGCGACTTCTCCCACAGCACAAGCACACAATTTTCGATCACATGCGTGCACATTGCCGGTGGTATCTCACGAATAATACGCCGAATCTCATCTTTTAACTCTTGACTTTTTTGGAGATTGTTCACATATGCTTTACTTTTGATGTGAACCCACAAAAAAACGTCTAGTGGCGTGAGATCGCAAAATCTAGGCGGCCAATTAACATCCCCGTTTCTTGAAAGAAGTTTACCTTCAAACCGTATTTGCAATAAGTCAATGGCCGAGTTCGTTTATTACATAAATATCCTCCGCGAGCATTTTTCCGTTCGTTTATTCCAACCGAGCAAAAAGAGCAATGACATTTGCGTTCGAATATTGCATGAGAGAGGAAAAAATATTGCTCACAAGGCTCCATAATTTTAGCGCGAGGAGGCTAACAAATTTTGGTGGGGGTGATTTTTCCTAACCACACTTTGACTGAAAAATCTTGATAATAATCAATAATTTTAATTTCCTTTCCTATATGGAAAGTTAAACGAAAATAACTATCTTTTGAACTGCGTATGGGTAAATCGATGAACTAGGTAGATGTTCAACAAAATCTTCAATTTTTTCTTCTACAATCTGTGGTTTTCCTCATCATCTTCGTCAAAAAATATAATATTTGCGTAGTGCACTAAATTTGTCAAAAAAAAGAGAGATTTTCCATATTTTTGGTTTGCCACTCAGACCAAGATAGAAGTATTATTTTCAATAAATAATTAAATGTTTGTCGCTTGATGACGTAACGTCATAAAGACCTCTTCAGCGTTCGGCAATATGCAGACGCTTTCCAGCACTCTGTAATCACGTGACCAATATCTGTAATCCTCCCGAATGATCAGCAAGGTATAAAACGAACTCAGCCAATGGTTTCTCTTCTCTTGCTGTGTGACATGTTGCGACGTCTTGTTGGAAAAGTAAACCGTATGTGAACAATACCCAAACAATTCAAGAGTTGAAAGATGAGATTCGGCGCATTATTGGTGATATACCACCGGATATTGTGTTTCACGTATAATTGTAAACGATCATGTTACTTATTGTTATAAAGTATTAAATGTTTTCTTGTTTGCTTTTCGTTTGAATTGAAAAAAACATCCGGAAACTCTTATTGGAACACCCTTTATTACATTTCAAGTTATGTTTTTTTTTTGAAGAATAATTTACATTTATTTTTTTATCCCGGAAGTAATTAAGTATTACATACCAAAATCATTACAACGCGGAATAAATTAGTCATCATAGTTAACTTGAAAAATGCTAATAAAGATTATTTAGCTTTAGCTATGCATTAAGTTTATGTATAATGGGTATCATTTTTGACTGGAAGGATTCTCTGGAAACTTCCAATTGATTTAGTGGACAGGACAGTAACGTCAAAAATGGCAGCGGCAGGAAACGAATCGGAAGTTTTTGTCAAGGCTCAAGTCAAGCTAAATTGAAATATGTATTTCCGACTATTTTGCACGTATGATTGATCGCTTTTGTTATGAACCATTTGAGGGTAGGAGATGATTTACCCAAGTGAAAAGTTAAATACCTTTAAAAACTATCGTGAATCATTCTGACAAATAAATATGGAAATCTAATTTAACTGCTGTATTTTTATTTTGTTTTATCCTTCGCGTTTTGATACTTTCAATTCTGTTCTTGGAGGTTTTCAAGAGTTTTTTTTTTATATTAGCAAATCATGCAAATCGCGAAACATCGATATTTTTATCCACAAAAGGATAACTAGTATCGCGAGTGTTTGATATTTCAAAATTCAAATTTACCTAATTACTGTCTTTGTTCATTGTACTATCAAATACAATAAAAAATAATTAGGTATTAAAGCAAAATATTAAATACTTTTGAATACCTAATACATTTTTAATCAATAAAATCTATTATGCTCTAACACGACTTGTAGCTATTCGTTTTTTTAATTTTTATCAATTAATTTTTAAATAACTTAATTTAGATTTCGTTAGCCAAACAACCAATTATTGTGTTCTACTAGTACATGCACAATTGCATCATTACGATAGATGAAGTCATCAAATAAAACAAGTATATAATCTGCTTAATAAGGATCAGGAAGTATAGTGAAATATTAATTTATGTATATTTGAAAAAGAAAAGATGTTCTAGCGGTTGGTTAAAAGAGGATCGAGGGTCTCTTTTAAAAATGTCAGTTGAATTCGTTAGTCATTAGTGATTCATCGACATTTTGGCAATATCTTATAAGTAAAAAAAAGTACAAAAATCACCTACCAGACAGTTTTTCACGAACGACACTCACCTACATATTAAATTCGTTTAGTAAAAATAGATAAGATAAGTTCTATTTGGTTCAACAAAGCAGGTCCCTTATCTCAATGTTTGTGTTGTTTGTTATAGGCTCTAAAACGTTACCAATAAGTTATTGCTTGTGCCTAATATGTTTGAACAACGCTAGGTAACCATTCAGACATGTTTTGCTACCCTACAAAAAATATTATATCAAACAAACTTTTAGAGACTAGGATTCTTTCAGAGGAAATCGTTTATAGAAAATCGAATTATAGATTACTGAACAAGTTCAAGCTTCGAAACCGATTTTAAATTTTAAATCAATGAAGTCTATGCAAAATTTTAGCAAATAAAAACCGTTAACTGTTCCTTTCGGTTTGTTGATCCAGAAGGTCGATCTTCTACTGCAAACCGACTGCCTACAAAATCGTACGATTCGTATGATCCATTTAACAGGCATAGAGATGTTAAATGCTGGAATATGGCTGGAGAGGACATTATTTCCAAAGACATGGTTCTAAAGAGCCTAGAAGGCATAGTACCTACTGCTGGTAGTAGGAATTTTCTTAAGGAAATAGAATATATGAAATTTTGTCGATGTCAAACAAATGGAAATTTGTACTATTAATTGAAAGACCTGTTGGTTTCAATGGCAAAATTAAAATAATTTTAGATACATTTCTTGGTCATTTTGAAAAATACTACCTACTGCCTGCTTCTATTATGTTCCTTCCTTATGCTAACCGATGATTCACAATCGAACAACAAATCATTACGTTATTTTTTTCTCCTCCAAAATTTTAAATCTTCATCTTTTGTGTTGGTGTTCACGTTCATTTCATATGAAAGAAATTCAATAGATTACCGGCCTAACCGCTTCCCAAGTTAACACAATATAAACGGTACCTTGCTATTGAATTCGCCAGTCTCGCCGTGTCTCTTCGATTCGTCCGTGGGCTGCTCTGCCAATCTAAGGCTCTGTCACAATAATTCGATTTCGTTCTCAGCTCAAACATGTTAACTTGTCGGATCTTGGGTTCCTTCATTTTAGTTATTTTTTGCGCGATATTGGCTGGTGTGTAATTTATCTCGATTGATTAATTTATTTTGTTTGTATATTGTAAAAAAGTTTTTTCATCCTTTTTGAAATGTTTACATTATTTTATTAGGAAGGCATGGGGTTGAAATGAAACACCCCCAATATCTTCTCATAGTCTAGGAATTGTCGAAAAATACATGCATTGCAAAGAAAAAATTCCTACCCAAATGAACTTTTCAGGGATGATAGGGGGCGGGTGGCTGATCATAAAACCGAAGATATCACACATGCACCCTTCTGGCGTTTTGCGCTATAGGGGTTGAAAGTGCACCATTGGTGATTACTTGGTACCTATTGATTTTACAAAAACATGTTCCAAATAAAAGATGTGAAACATTATTTGATCTACAATGTATATCTAAAGACTTTTTTGATTAAGGGCTGTCTGTGGTCATAAAGGCCGTTTGAAATTTATAATGAAAATAATTTTTTTTAACCAATGTGGAAAAAATTTCTACAACACATAAAACGTTTTTGCTTTATGAAGTTTATACCCACCCCCTGCCGTTTTTCAATAGAGGTAGTTTAAAGTTTTTTTATTTTTTTACAAAAAAAAATTTTTTTAATAAGAGTTTTACAAGATTACATTTCCTACAATTTTTCCTTATCAATTTTTTTTGTACCTCACCCCCATTCAGCGGGGGGAGACTTCTCTTACGTTAAATTTTTTTATTTTCATTATAAATTTCAAACGGCCCTTATGAGCACAGACGGCCCTTAATCAAAAAAGTCTTCGGATAAATATTGTTGATCAAATAATGTTCCGCATTTTTTATTTGAATTTTTTTTTTGTAAAATCAATCAAGGTACCAAGTAATCACCAATGGTGCACTTTCAACCCCTATAGCGCAAAACGCCAGAGGGGTGCATGTGTGATATCTTCGGTTTTATGATCACCCACCCGCCACCTATCATCCCTGAAAAATTCATTTGGGAGGGAATTTTTTTTTTTTTGAAAACCGACAATTTTCCTAGACTATCAATCAAGTAATTTTTTTTTTTAGAATAGCTAGTAGAAGGTTAAGGTCGTGGAAGGCCACAGTTTTGGGAAATTTCCGTTTTGTGCAAATCATTCCATTTTCCAAGCCAACTCAAAAAATTTCAAACGATATACGGAGTGATATTTTTACCCTATAATCCCAACATCCGAAGTCAGTATTTTCACCACCAGACCAAATGGTTCTGTCTGTTGATAGTGGAACCACAGCTTGTGAAACATTTAAAAGTCTGTGTACAAACGAATTGAACCCTGCTATTTTATGGGAGTATGGATGATTGAATTAATAATGGAAAATAGAAAATTCGTGAATATCGTTTCGATTAGTTAATGGTTAAATCTTAAAAGTTGATGGATTCATGATTCTCTAATTCGACAGTAAATTGGACTTCAGGGTGAAGGTTGTTGATGAATGACATAAATTGATTTAACTGTCTATCAGTGCCTGAAAAACAAGTAATGATATCAGCATATCGATGCCAATAAAGAAATCTTTGAGTTAGTGGATAGTTAAACATTTGTTTTTCCAAATCATCCATAAAAATTTCGGCCAATAACCGACTCAAAGGATTACCTACCTATTCATTGTCAAACCCTCATCAGAAGCGGAAAAACTATTGCTATTAATTCGAAATAATTTTGATCCAAGCAAACCGGAAGAGAATCTAATATATTTTCTTCAATGATTATGTTAACTGATTTTTTTCTTAAGAGTGTGTTGATTAGTTCATTAGGTGGAAAGTGGAACACTGGAAAACAAATTTTTAACGTCAAACAACAATAATTTAGCATTTTTTTGGAATTGTTTATATTTTTAATTTTGTAAATGAGTCCATATGAATTTTTAATGCTAAATTTGGGAAAAAATTACAGCATTGTGATCAATTTTTTCAAAAGCTTTGTTGAAGGAACATTAATAAGGGACACAATCGGTCTAATAGGGCAACTGTCTTTGTGTAATTGTATCAAAAAATAAAGATTATGTGCTTGAGGAATAATTACTATCAAACTCTGTTTTTCAAAATCATTGAAAATTGAAAGTTCTTTGACAGTCATCCTAATCATCTTTTGGTAATGGTTTGCTGGATCAAAATTTATTTCCTGTACATTCTTGGAGTAAAAAAATTCTAAAGTTTTCTGAACATATTCGTCTTTAGAATCACTACAACAGAGTTTCCATTATTCGCTTTGTTAAAGATGTGCTATTTTTTTCGGTATTGTTTTGAATTAATTTGACAACGTTAATCTCTTTAGATAAATTGATTGATGGATTTTCTGATAGATGTGGAGACTTGTCAATACCATTAAAGGCAAGTTCACATTCAGCACCAAGATATTGTTTTAGTTGTTGGTTATCTTTCGGAACAAGGTTATTGTCTCGGTTATTGTATAGGTATAAACCCTTTATTTAAAAGATGACTTTCACCTCTCGAGAAATCAACGTCCGTCAAATTTAAAAAACAAGTTTATCCTTGTGAATACGGATCTTACGGCATATTATTATATGAACTTTTTCCCTTACATCTCTGTCGTATTATGTGTGTCGAATACTATTTGGAGTGGTCTATAACGTGGTTCTCCGTGGATATGAACTTATTGACAAATTTAAAAACGTGAAAGTAGCAAAAAATGCTAAATTATTATCTTTTGACAAAATTTGTTTCCCAGTGCTCCACCTAATGAAGTTATCGAACTAATTAAACAGAATATATTATACAGGGTGTTTGGTAGATCGATGCATATATTTTGGGTGGTGATAGAGTAAGTCATTTAGAACCTATTTAGTCAAACTTACCTCAGTACCAAGACTTCTATGGTTTTCAAAATATGGCCGATTTAATTTTTTCGTAAAAAAATCTCACAAATCCTTTTGTTAGGCGCTTTAATGCGAGATTCAGAAATACCATCTCAATTATTTTTGTTTTGTATCTCAACATAATGTGTAATTCTTGTGTTTAATGCATTAACAATAAAATGAATAAAAAATTAGCAATACAAGTGCCATTATAAAGTCACAAAAAGTATTAACTCAATTGCAAAATGAGTTTTTTCGGAAAATATGATAAAATAAAGGTAACCAAGGTTTTCAAATTAATTTAAAAACTTTTGTCACCTTTTCCAATTGCGCATACCACAAAAAATTACATTTTTTGTTTTTTTTGTTTTGTTTTTGGATTGCTGCACAAAACTCATGTTAGACTACAGATTTCCATGAATAAGTATTCAGGGAGAAAACTGGACTAGCCTTTATTTTTTCTTCTTTTTACAAACAAAATGTTTGCTTTTAGACTGAAATGAGTTAACAGTTTGGTTATGACTAATTTTTGTGATAATTTGTGATGTTATTTCTGAATATCGCATTCAACAAAGGATTTATTAAATTTGTTTAAGAAAAAATTAAATCGGCATTATTTTGAAAACCATGAGACTTGGTGCTGAGGTTAGTTTGACTAAATAGGTTCTAAATGACTTACTCTATCACCTCCCAAAATATATGCATCGACCTACCAAACACCCTGTATTATATTTCGGTTTGCTGGGATTAAAATTATTTCGGAATTAACAATAGTTTTTATACACTTCTAATGAGGGTTTGACACTGGATAATCACTTGAGTCCGTATTATCTGAAATTTTTATGGACTACTTATTTGGAAAACAAAAATTTAACCATCCACTAAGTCAAAGATTTCTTTATTGTCATCGATATGTTGATATCATTACTCACTTTTCAGGCACTGATAGATAGACATTTAAATCAATTTCTGTTACTTTATTAACAACCTTCGCCTAAAATCCAATTCAATGTGGAATCCAAATACCTTTTAGACTTAACCATAACCAATAAAAATTATATTCACGAATTTTCTATTTTTCATAAGCTATCATACACCGATACAGTAGTTACATATAATAAATCTAATCATGCACTTGTATAGAATAGCAGCGTTCAATTCGTTTGATACACAGTCTTTCAAAATAATGTTCCACTACCAAAAGACAATTACAAGAAGGAAATCAATTTTATCAAACAGATTGCAGTCAATAACGGATTAATTGTTAGTTTGGTAGATACATTTATTTAATTAAAAACGTTATCAAATGGTAATTAACCTGGCACATCCATCATCGAATTATATATCCAACCAAAAATATAAATACTACTTCTCCAGAAACAAGATAAAGACTGCTTAAGAACCAATAATGTTTGCCGCATTCTCCCTCGTTTTTTTTTTTTATTTGTTTTTGTTAAATATTTCTCCAAGTCTGTGTGTCTTCTATTTTTTTTATCTTCTAACATTCCATTATTTTTTTTATATATGTACCTATACATCTTCAAAGTAATGTTTTGCATTTTTTCCTGTCACAATTTTGAGTTGCCGTTGGCTCGATCTGTATCTGTATCTAAACAAAGCAGGTCCTTGAATTTATCAAAGTTGACATTCTTTCTTATTTGATTTTCTTCTTTCAGAACCCCGACCAGCATCGCCCCAATCGAAAAACCTACTCTACTCAGAGCCTGGAGTTTTAGCAGTATACATAAGACCTGGGGATACACCTCTGAAAGAAATCAATGAAGATCTTGCTGAGGCTTTTGAGTTTAATGCCCTGAAACACGGTAGGCTCACTTTTGGGAGAGAAATCAATAAATTACTCAATAACAAAGAACTACTCAATTCTCATGAGTTAGCCGAAGGGGAAAGTTATACTATAAAGAAGAAGACTATCGGAAGAAATAATGATGAAGTTAAAGAAAACGAGTCTGATAAAAGTACTCATATTCAAAGAATACCTAAATATTAAAACTGCGAGTGATATTTTTTTAAAATAGAATATTCTATTTATTTTTTTTGTAAATATATTTTATTCTCTGAAGCGTCTTTTTTTTCAGCCCAGCAACATTTCTATCAATAAATAAAAAAGATAAAATCTGGGTAAACTTAACCTCATAAGGTTCTGATAATAATGTCTGCCAAATTAGTCCAATTAAATAGTATTTTTGGTAGGAAAATTTTGAGGTAGTTTTGATTTTTTCCATCCTTTATGTTTTTTGGGGTGCTGAATCCGAATCTGAGGTTTGCTTACAAAATTTCGTGACGCAACATTGAGAATAATGCAAAAAAACTGAAAAAAATGGTAGTTTTGGCAGTCTTTTGCGTATAACTGGAAAACTATCCATCTTTTGGAAAAAATACCTCTATTCAAAATGAAAGCAAATAACATTTTCTATGAATGTTTGTAGGACAAACCGTTTCGTCTCAAACGCTAGTTGAAAATGGTCAAATTTATCTATCTCCACAAAAACCCATATTTTATCTGCAAAACTCTTATTTATTACCAAATAACATTATTTTCATCACTTTATTATCATAGTATTTATTATATTATTGATTTTATCATCATCGTATCATGTTATCTGAGAGAGGCCTATATCTAGACGATAGAGAACGGTTAGGAAGAAGAAGAGAAGAGATCTTATTATTCAAGGCGTTTTCTCTTGGAAGGTCCTGGCAGAAGATCGTGTTCTTCCATGAATATCGGAGATTGACCTGGAAAATAGGAGAAATTATGAAAAACAAACTCGTGATTTTGCGATTGGACAAACCTTCCACATCGTGTGAACGTTCTTCTCCAGACATTTCTTGGTCTCTTTCTTCGGTCCCTTCTTCGTCAATCTCAATGCTGTCATCCGGGGACTTGACGTTTTCACACAACCCGTTACATACTGTGCATATTGACGAGCAATAAAGGCCTGTCTTCCTGCATCCACAATTTCGCTGGTAGCCTTTCTTGCATTTGCAAGATATGCTCTGTAGTATTCAGTCCGGTGCTCGTTTGGACGAGGTTGCAACGGGCACAAGACCACTGTTGTTTTTTTTCTTTTTGTTGCACTTCATCGGATATGGTTTGTCCAGATAACCACTGCTGCCCCTGAAAGTACACTCTTAGTGAATGTTCTCGTGCAGCAGCTTCAGTGGGAGGTAGTGCGCAATGTTGGGTTTGCTTTTGAAGGATGATGATATGTAATGCCTGTATCTCAAATCATTCAAACTAGTCTCCCGGCCTTGCCCATACATGTTGCCTGCTTGGGCAATCTCGTCCTGGTTAGCTCGAGGGTCTTCGAAAGCCTCAATAAATGGTATCAAGTCATTGTTTCTTTGCAGGACTTTGAGAAATTTTAATTTTCCCTGATTGAACAGAACGGAAGTGGTGTCACAACCACTCATCGCGTGCAGGAACAAAATATGGTTCGATAGGGTTTTGTCTAGTAGGTGAGGATCGTAGATGGTGTGAGACACCTTTCCTCTTCCCGGTTTCATGAAAGAGACATTTTTTATAGCAGGACTACACAGGCCATATAAAATCACCAGAAGGTCGATGTCTTTCCCCACCACTTTCACGTATTCATTTGAAGAAGCCAACTTGAGTGCTATTGTAATTATAAAAATATCAGCATCTTCGACTAATTGCTGTGACTCAATGTTTGCTTCATTCAACTTCTTCATAAGCATGACTATCAACCGGTTCTTGTTTGTGGAATTTGCAAGAAAACTCTCCTGCGAGACAGTGGGCACCATCGATTCAGTGATTTCTTTGCGCTCTTCTCAATCGCTCTATTCGCTTGGTGCTTTCACGAGCTTCGTCGGGGTAGCCATCAAAAATGATCACGGCATTCCATTTGTGATTTGACATAGGAAACATAGGTACTGCAAATTTCTGCATATGTCTGGACGTGGTGCCATTTGACCCGGTGTAATAAGAACCCTCCGTCGATGATAAATTTTGTATCGGTCAAGTTCGCCTGTTCAATAGGGACAAAAGCCTTGTACAAACTTGATTTGGTTCCTCTCCTCATTCCATGCTCATCGAAAAGTGAGAGAAGGTAGGGGTTAAGTTCGTAACATTGAAATTCTCGTAGCTCTTCATCTGTATGTTTCACGATGGTCATTCTTTAGAAAAGTGAGATAGGAATGATGACTACAGCCCTGTCTTCTATCTGGATCGAGCTGTTCATGATTGCAAGAGGCAGCGCTCTATCGCTTCGCTTGAATTTGACAGTTTTGAAGTCACCTCCAACAATGCGCTGCATACTTTGAATGCCAACCTCCTTGGATAAGTGGCTGTTGATTCTATCATCTGGTCAATCAGTGGTCTCTGGAAAAGGATGATGTTCGAGGAACCAATTCAGCAACTTTTTGGCATCGGCTATGTCTGGCTCTTGCATCGTATCTCTGCTGTCGACGTGTTGTTCAGACGTCGCGTCGCGTGTTCCACTCCAGTGAAGTGCTCAATTTCTTGGCACACATTATGTAATGCTGTCATCCCTTGTGTCCATTTTGTTACAACACTTAGAGTTACTTCACGACCAAGAGTGAGAACACCACTTGTTTTCATTGACTTCATCAGAGTTTGCTCGATCGTCATATCAGTCCAGATGCCGCACCAAAGTTTATCAGTCCTCCGAATGGTGACATACCCTCCAGTAGTGAAACGCTCGTATTCAGTAGGTGGCATTGTAGTTTTCGAGGCGAGCATATCCTGGAGGTATAGATGACCGCATTTAGCATACAGTATATGGTCACTGCCGTGAAAGAAAGAAATCATTCCATATATGGTTTGAAGGTGCAGTTCCCAGTCGCTGCTTCTTTCTGCTTCAATAAATAAGTGCTTCATCAAAGTCATCATTTCGAAATATACAACCCAAAGCTTGGCAGTTGGGTCATCTTCTGCCAAAAATTAAAGGTTACTTTTGAATTCATCTTGCAGATCTTTCGCAATCTCTTTCACGGCGAGCATATCCTGGAGGTATAGATGACTGCATTTAGTATACAGACTATGGCCACTGGCGTGAAAGAAAGGAATGATTCCATATATGGTTTGAAGGTGCAGTTTCAGTCGCTGCTTCTTTCTGCTCCAATAAAGTCCTTCATCAAAGTCATCATTTCGAAATATACAACCCATAGCTTGGCAGTTAGGCCATGTTCTGCCAAAAATTGAAGCTTACTTTTGAATTCATCTTGCAGATCTTTCTCAATCTCTTTCACATCATTAGATAGAATCACTCTTCTGTCCATGTTAAACAAGATTTCCTCCAATTGATAGGGCCATTGACTGAAAAATTATTTTGGCTAAAGTTCTGTGTGCCAACATATGAGCTTGTACTGCCCTTGTTTATGCGTGGCCGGTCATGATTTGTTCAGTTGAGTTTGCTGCCAATATTGTATTGAAAAGTTCAGTCAATCCACTACCCTGCATAATGAAACCAATTGACCCCATAAACGACATCAGTAAATGGAATCCTCCTAGCCTTAGCACAACATTTGAAAGAGCAGGATCATTCGGACGGCTAGCAAGAATGTCTCGTGCCTTGAAATAGAGGGATTGGTCAAATGTCACTAGGCAGGTAACTTGGTTCAAAGATTTGGTCTTCTCTACTCCGGCCAACAGTGCTGTGAATATTGTATTATATTCACTTGGAGGAGCATTAATATATGGCTGATAGCTAATAAAAGTTACTTCATATGGTAAGTTTCTTTTAATATCTTCCATAAATCCATTCCATCCTAAGAGACCAGGAATGTCTATACTCAGATCAGGCACAGAGTGAATAGCATTTTCACTCGATGTAAACATTTCATTAAGATCGTTTATCTTCAATTCAGCTAAGCCTTCAGGTTTTGTTCTCTCAAAATGTCTCAGTTTATTTGCTCCATAACTTCCCGAAACCTCAGGCGACTGTGTTTTTCCGATCATTTTGAGTCGAGGTATGAATTGATTGGGGGCTACTGTCTGTTTTGGGGAATACAGGAAATGCCACCCATGACGTGAAAGGTGTTGTATCCGTCTTTTGTTGAAATCAGCGTTATCATAAACGTGCTGTGAAAAGCACGGCTGATTAACTGTCAGCGGATCGCCTTTGATTGCTGATGCTTCCAGGGGCCCAATTCTCGTCCCCAAGGAGTAGAGCTCCCCGAGAAAACGAATTTTTTGTCCTTGTCAACGTAATCGAAAAGTGAACGAGAATTATAAAGACAAAAAAAATTGTTCTCTCGGGGAGCTCTCCTCTCCCTGAGACGAGAATCGGGCCCCAGGCGTACAGCTTATATATAAGATGAACAAAATCCCAATGAAGACACTAGGTCAACTAATTTTCTTGAGCCACACTTCTTGTACAGGAACACTGCTGCCAAACCTTCCAAAATAGGTGAGGTAAACGATCTGGCCTTACCGCTGCAACAAGAATATTATGAACCATCGCTGGGCTCTTTTTCTTCCAAATATCATGGTCCCCACGTTTTTTGTTTAGTACAACTGTTTCCAAGAATGTACGGAAGGTTTCTGGAATGAGTTCTTCATTTTTATCTAAAAACTTATCAGGTGGGGGTACTATTCTGTGTCATAAGCTGGGCTCCGGATACCCTCAACAATAATTGTAGCAGCTGCCTTAACGATTCGGAGTCTTTCCTCCTGTTCGTTTTTCATTGTCTTCTGGTACCAAGCATCAGTCAAAATTTGATATCCTGTGTTTTTGAAACCTACTACCTGCGCCTTGTTTGGGGAAAAAATGATTAGTATGTCGCTTCCATCTTTTTTCAGTAGATGAGCTTTGACTGTTTTTTTTTTTGTCAGGACAATAATCTCCTTTGATTTGGTCAATCAACTCTTCGAACGAAAACTGGCACTCTCCATCACTATTCTCAAGAAAACTGTAGACATTTTCCATTGTTGCTTCAACATCATCGGCGAATGGACCTCTTGGTCTCTTGTCTTGAATTTTTGGGCGATTGTACAGTTTTCTCATACATAAACTATGGTACTGACTACTGACATTCAGAGGCCACCAAGTCTGAGACAGGTGAGAGACGCTTGATTAGGGCTTGTCCCTACTCATCACCGCGTTCTGATGCTCTTTTTATAATGGTTTTCTTGACCTTTAAAGTTCGAAGCTGATACACAATATTGCGATTGGTTTTCTGTTTTCTTTGTTGTTCCATAAACTCAGGGGTTATGAGGAGGCCACACATACAACAATGACTTTTGGTAGAGAAATCAGTTGAACGTCTTTCAACCTGTTCCCTGCCTCGCTCCACCTTCTTTAAATGAGCGGTAATCATTCTTTCATTAGTATAATTCTTACGACAACGCTCATGAACCACAACTTCCGTTTTTTTGCTCAGCTGAACATGCTCACCATCTCTCCTCTTCTTACTTGACACAATAAACGTATTCAGACCTTTTTCCCGCACCTTTGTTGTGTTCTCTTCATCATTATCCATTACTTCATCACAAATAAAACACACGTTCGAGGGCATTTTTAACAATACGCGGAAACAAACTTGATAAATCGGTCGTTATTTCAGGAGGTCATCATCAACTAGGAGGAATTCGCCAAATGAGCTTTTAATTCCAAATTAAAGTTTTCTAGTGAAAAGGGTGGATTTTTGGAGAGACAAATGAAATACGACCATTTTCAACTAGCGCTCGTAGCCAAACGGTTTGTTTTATAAAAAAAAAATTATTTACTTCCATTTTAAATAGAGGTATTTTCTCCAAAAAATGGATAGTTTTCGAGTTATACGCAAAAGACTGCCAAAACTACAATTTTTCTCACTTTTTTGCATTTTTTTCAATGTTGCGTCACGAAATGTTGTTAGCAGACCTCATATTCGGATTCAACACCTCAAAAAACACAAAGAATGGACAACAAAATCAAAACTACCCCAAAACATTAGTGATGCCGCGAGACTCGAGACTGGTCTCGTCTCGTCTCGTCTCGTCTCGTCTCGTCTCGTCTCGTCTCGTCTCGTCTCGTCTCGTCTCGTCTCGTCTCGTCTCGTCTCGTCTCGTCTCGTCTCGTCTCGTCTCGTCTCGTCTCGTCTCGTCTCGTCTCGTCTCGTCTCGTCTCGTCTCGTCTCGTCTCGTCTCGTCTCGTCTCGTCTCGTCTCGTCTCGTCTCGTCTCGTCTCGTCTCGTCTCGTCTCGTCTCGTCTCGTCTCGTCTCGTCTCGTCTCGTCTCGTCTCGTCTCGTCTCGTCTCGTCTCGTCTCGTCTCGTCTCGTCTCGTCTCGTCTCGTCTCGTCTCGTCTCGACTTTTCGACACGAGACTGGCTTTTGGTCTCGTGTCGTGAAGTCTCGACGAGACGAGACCACACTCGGCGAGAGTCTCGTGTAGTCTCGAGTCTCGAGATTACACTTAAATTTTTTTTTCATAGCTTTATTATTGGACTATTCTGGGCTATTTGAATATGAAATCAATAAATTAAATATCACGGTTACTCTTTACTGTGACTTTTCACTAATTGCTTTTTCATTGTGGCAGTTTGGACTTCCTTTATAATATAAAAATAAAAACCATAAATACAGGGTATCCGAAAAATAACGTAAAAGCTTTCCACGTATAGTAGGGGACCCTTTGAGAAACCCTAGAAAAATAATTCAATTAAAAAAATCCTTCTTCAACATTATTCTTGGTATTATGAAGAGGTAGATGTGAAAAGTCACCTTCGAATTCTTCAGATAATTACATGGGTATTCAATTTAATTCTCTGACATATTGTCAACGGTATATTTTTAGTGTTGCCAATTTTAATAAATATTAAAATGCAAATAACTTTCTTAAGAATGCCACTAGATTTTTTAGCCGGACTCACAAACTAAAAACATATTGGCATTTCGTAAAGGTCTTATTTGATTGTTTGGGCTCCTATGTTGGTGAGTCAAATTAAGGAATAAGACAACTTTCGACGTAAATAGTTATATTTGAAGTAACGCGTTACTTTAAAAGTAACACTTTATTTAAAAGTAGCGCTTTATTTCAAACTAACGCATTGAGGTAACGGGTTACTTTCAAGTAACGAGTTACTTTTAAGTAACGAACTACTTCTAAAGTAAAGAAGTTACTTTCAAAGTAAAGAAGTTACAGTAACGCGTTACTTTCCAATAAGTAACGAAAATAAAGTTATCATTATTCGAAAGTAACTGTAAATTTTAAGTAACGAGCTATTTTTAAGCAAAAGTAACTGTAAAGTAACGCGTTACTTTTTTCAAGTAACGATCCCAGCTCTGGTAGGTACTCAGTAATTTCTTGCTCAGGTAAAATGATGATTTTATATAATAATTAATTATGGTGTACTCCAACTCTTTTTTTTTTTAAAACTTCTAGAAATTGTTTTCTAAAACCTTTGACCCACCAAATGTTTTTCCTAAAAGGTTAAAATTTCATGACCGCCCAAAAGGCCATCAAATATTTTGTATACCTACCTGTTGCTGTTAACTTTGGTTTACATATTTATTATAATTTTACATAAATTATCTTATAGGTAAGATGGGTACCTATTTTATTACTGAGGAATAAATAGAAAAAAAAAATTACAAATTTATGTGTATGCTGAGATTGAGAAACACACGATTTAAATAAAACAAATGTTATTATTTATAATAATGAGTAATATATTTATAAGTATTTAACTATAATCACATAATTTGTTTATTTGGCATAGACAATTTGTTTAATATTAAAAGAGCGATTTGGATAAAATGTATAGGTGACTACCTACCTAATTTAATAACAAATGCAATTTATTAGGAAAAAAGCTAAACATGAGTCGGATGACGATGATGATGATTCATTACCATCAAAGTTAACAATCAGGGGCTCTATTCTGGTTTCCATCATAGCATCCATAGTCCACATACTTGCCTCCACTTTCAGCGCATGCCCAACAGCATTTTTCCAATTTTCAGGACTAACGTTGTAGAATGCTTCATTAAATTTTTTTTTAACATCTGCAATTTTGAAGGTTGTATTTTTCGGGCCACTTCTCCTTTCATTTGTGCCCATATCAACTCAATAGGATTTAATTCGCAGTGGTACGGAGGTAACCTTTCGACTGTTCTATTGCAAGCTCTGGCCATTTCATCAATTACGTATTGGTTCTTGTGAAAACTTTCGTTTACGAGCGTTAATAGTTCTGCCTTCACCATATCCTCTTCAAAGCCTATATTTTTCCTAGTTAGCCAAGATTGTATATCAGCTTTTTTCGTAGATTATGTCGGTTTCTTATCAATTTTTCTAGAATGGTAAGATGCATTGTTCATCACTATGACACAATTTTCTTCCAAGCGAGGTGAAATATTTTCAAACCATTGCTCGAAGACTTGGGAATTCATTTCCTCATGATAGTCTCCAGTTTTCTCTGACTGAAAGAGGAGCAAGCCGTTCTCAACAAATCCATCGTCTGAACTAATATGTAATATAATGAGTCTTTGTCCTTTACCTGTGGGATTCTTCAGTCCTGTAGATAGTCCATTTACGAAAGCTTGCCTCGCCGCAGTGACAGTTTCATCGCTCCATACTTTTGGAGTGACATGGCCAGCATTGATCCAGGTTTCGTCCAGATCTTTTTTCCACTCGCCCTTACTGCTCGGATATTCCGTAAATAGCGTCGCCTCCAGCTCACAATTCCATTTTTTTCTTTTAGCATGCTATTTCGACTTCTTCTACCATACCGAAAACCAAGTTCACGGAGCAACTTTTTAAACGAGCTTTTCTTAAAATTAGGGATGTCCTCTCGCTCTTGAATAGCTGCTAATATTGCCTTTACACTAAGAGACTCGTTCTTGATAAAAAATGAATGAATTAATCTCCGAACTGAATTTTTTGTTTATCTATATCTACATATATTGTCCAAAACAGATTTTTTTCTTTTGTAAGCTTTGGCTGGCTTCAGTTCATGCTCGTTTTTGTGTTCCCGAAGAACGTTGTAAACGCTGGCTACTCCAATACCCATGGCCTCTGCTGTGAAATTCACTTTCTCAGTTTTTGTACAATCTGCATGATTTCGGTCACAAGTTTTGAAGGTATTTAGGATTGTCTCCTTTTCAGACACTGAGAAATGTCTTTTCCTCCGTCTTCTTGATGGAGATAAATTTCCATCATTAGGATCCATGAAAAAAAAAACAAATTGAATCGCAAAAAAAAATCTAAAATAGCACAATTCGAATCACAGCACAATGTCACAGACGAACAACATCAACTAAATGCGCTTCACTATGAAATGATCTGTTCTTCAGAGGGTTGCGGGATAATTTATGGGCGTCGGTTAGCAGGTAATCGTTTTACAACTATATTTCTTCGGTGGCCCGACAGTAAGGTTAATAAAATAGAAAATAAGTAAAATTACTTATAAGTTTTCTTTAATTTATTGAAACGTCATTTTCATTTTCGAATTTCATTTTCCTCGTCTAACAAAATGACAGGGAAATTTTCATCAATATATCCAGAAATAACTTTCTTGTCTTTGTCCTCCAGTGTGTATTCGTCTGGATTACTTGACCACGTTGGTTGATTGGGAGTTGGCGGACCTGGAGTTACCCATCCTAAAAATATAATTTTTTAACTATAATTTTTAACTCGATTAGATTAGAAATACACCACGTCAAGCATGCTGTTGCCCACTACATAAAAAAGCATTAAAAGTAGTACATTTTCGTTGATTATTTAGAAACGAAGTTGAATATCAATATCTTTAATTTCTTTTGTTTCGCCGAACAAAATTGTCCTTCGGAACATTTCATAATGCGTAATTTCATTTCCTCAAGTTAGCTATAGAACAGAATAAGATAGAGTATTAATGTGACACGAAAAAACCAAATTTCTTGCAATAAGTGTATACTTTAGATGCAATAAATGTAAATAAATAAAAATATCAATATTTTTGACAACGTTACTTCATAATAATAGAACCTCACCGTTAAATCTAGGTGAAGTTGGATATACACTAATACAGACTCACCAGGTGGTAAGTAATTTTGTGGTTTGAATCCAAAGTAGTCTGATGGAAGCCCAAATGGAGCAATGGGCCCAGGTGGGCGCCAATGGTTGAAGTTATCAAATCCTATATGTAAGGATTGATAAATGAATAGGTAGGTAGTGCTGAGAAACATAATTGAAAAATCGTGGCTTTGGGGAGGGGCGACTCGTAAGTAGATATACAAAGGGAATTCTACAGCGGAAGTGACGTCACAATGGTCACTCAGAAGTAGGCGCGTCAACATGACCCACCTCGTAGATTCTGAACTTATTTCCTTTATATAATATTCAATTTTAATCCGGGGTTGGTGTTAAAATGCTTTTCAATCATAGTCCTCATACGTATTTTTTTCATTTTTTAGCACCAATGGAACCAAAATTTTACAGCCAATTTTTTAACACTTATTTCTATTTTTCCTAAAACAGCTTATTGCTGCTGTGGTTGATGAGAGTACCAAGTAAACCCTCAACTTTTGTCTAAATTGCTGGCTGGGAAACAAACTACCTACTGAAAATGTTAACTAAAAATAGAGAACTAGGTAAATTACCTTGATGAGGTGGTCGATGAGGGTGATGGTGTTTGTGATGTCCCCTATGTCCTGGAGGTACAAATTCCGGCGGGGGTCCTGAAGGTGGACCTGGTGGTGGCCAATCGTGTCCTGGCGGTCCTGAATTTAATTTACCACAATAAATGAATTTTTCGTGAATGAAAAGAAAAACCAAAACTGACCCAATTAATAGCTATAAGTATATCGATTCAAACACTTTTATGAGGAGAATACTTACGAAAAAATAATCAACACAATAATTTTTAAAAAAGTTACCTAAAACTGTAGGTAGGTACTGAAAATTTGAATTTACCCAACTTTTTAGTATAAGTACTCTCTTCGGCGGTACATATACTAAAAAGTAGTTTCCAAAAGTATTTGAAGTAAATTTTTTTAGGTATTTTGGGAAATACTTCTTCTTATTATTCTTAGTATTGTTATTCAGTCAGGTCAGATTACCTTCATGTGGGGAAGACCCTTCACGCCCTAACGGTCCATATCCATTATCATAGTCAGTTGGCTCAAATTGTGGAGGCCCACGTCCTGGAGGACCGCGATGTCCTGGCGGTCCATGATGACCTGGAGGTCTGTGATGTCCCGGAGGGCCGTGACCTCCTGGAGGACCGTGATGTCCAGGGGAACGTTTAAATTGTCTATTAAAGTCCTTAAAATCCTGAGTTTGTCTTTTGGTTATTATTTTATCACCTAAAAAAATTAAAAATGTCAACTTTTCAGCCGGGAAAATATACTGCTTTTATTACAACATTGTCACCAAACCAAATAGCTACTACATATTAACATATTTAGGATTCAAAGAATAAAATAAAAGAAGTAATGTAGTAAAAATCCTGAATCCGCATATCAGTAGCTTAGTAAAAGTTTCTATTGAAAAGCTAACAACATAACTCAATAATTTGAAAACCAACAACAAATTTTCAATAAAAAATGATTTATTAATTATGAAACCAATAAAAATGATGTTCAAAATAGCATAGAAATAAGAAAAAAAAGTTGAATTATTGATATTTAATTGTATCGTGAATTTTCCATCAGCAATTATTATTATTGCTTCTGTTATGATAAGAATCGAAGCAAAGTGAAAATTTTTGAATAATTTATGTCGATCAATGATTATAAACGTTACAAGACAATCTTTCTTAGTAGTAGTTAATATATCCTAACATTTTCAATCGGGAAATAATAAAAATGTTAAATAATTTAAAGTTAAAATACGAATCTTACAGAAACCTGTTTTATCCTTATTGGATTTTTTCAATTTTTTTCTGCCAGTGTCATCATTTATTCGAACTCAAAAATAAACATTTATTGGGTCGTATTTTTGTGATTACCTATATTATTTTCATATATTATCTTAATTTCTTATGGTTTTCCAGAAATTTCAATCCAAATATATATAATAATGAGGACGTTCTAGTAAATGTAATCCAGATTTCAAATTTACTTATGATTTGTTTGACATCATTATGTATAATAACAGCAACATTTTTATATCAAAAAGTTTTGTTTAAACTTAGACAAAATTTGGACAAGTTGGAATCAATAACCAAGGAGTTGATTGTTTTTAAATCTTACAACAGCATGAAGATAGTTTTTTTGACATCTACTACACTATTAATAACAAATTGGATTGCTCTATTGTGGTATGATTTTGAGAACTGTCGACGAAAAACAGCAGAATGTCTATCAATATGGTTTACATTATATTTTCCCACAAAAATAAATGATGTTTATATATTTTTATTTTGCCTACATGTTAAACTTGTAGCTCATATGCTTAGTTTGATAACTACAACATTAACAAACATATTCGAACGTGAAGACATCAATGAAGAAATGCATTTCCTGTATTATGAAGACCTACTTTTCAATATCCAAAAAGTTTTGAAAGAAATTGTGCGAATTCAGCGAATGATAGAAGAAGTTCACGAAATACCTCTATGCTTTGTGATTTTAAATCAGCAAATTGACCTTTTCACAAATTTATATTTATTTTTAATAGGGACATGGAGTGTTGTGTCGTACTATGAAAATTGTTATGTTCCGTTATTTTATTTTATGCAAAGTTTTGGATTGACAGCATTTTTTTGCTTCATGTGTCAGTTAACGATATTTGAATTTAAAAAAGTCAAGAGTAAGCTTTGGTATTTTCCAATGGATAAATCTCCAGTACTTACAAGAAGGGTAAGTTTTAGAATAAGAAAAATTTGACCAGAGTAGAGAGACTTGTCTTATAACAACAACATTATCAAAATCATAAAAAGCTTTTTAACACATTTATTTTAAAAAAAAAACAGTCCTATTCTATATAATACAGGGTGACTCACAGTAAATTTCTCTTTACGAATGCGCCCTGTACAGGGTATTTGATTATATTTAAGCCCAAACAAATATATATTATATATATATATATATATATATATATATATATATATATACATATATATATAGTTTTAAAAACGTCTTTTTTCTTGAACCGTAAACTATATTCTTCGTTGAAATTTTCTTGGGAATAGGTTCAACAATGTTAAAAGGTCAGTCAGATTTCATAGGATATTTATTTTAAACGTTTCGGTCATTTCCGACCTTCATCAGTAAAACGTAAAAGGAAAAGCTTCCTATTTTTTTGGTTTGCGAATTTGAGGTTTAACTTTGCTGTAGTTTTCATTTCATTCACAGCATCGAGTCCATAGGTAGTTTCAATTTGGTGGTAGTTTAGCAGAATTTCACCCATACTGCAGTGTATATTGTTATAAAAACGTCTTTTTTCTTGAACCGTAAAATATATTCTTCGTTGAAATTTTCTTGGGAATAGGTTCAACAATGTTAAAAGGTCAGTCAGATTTCATAGGATATTTATTTTAAACGTTTCGGTGAAATTCTGCTAAACTACCACCAAATTGAAACTACCTCCTATGGACTCGATGCTGTGAATGAAATGAAAACTACAGCAAAGTTAAACCTCAAATTCGCAAACCAAAAAAATAGGAAGCTTTTCCTTTTACTTTTTACTGATGAAGGTCGAAAATGACCGAAACGTTTAAAATAAATATCCTATGAAATCTGACTGACCTTTTAACATTGTTGAACCTATTCCCAAGAAAATTTCAACGAAGCATATATATATATATATATATATATATACCTATTTCGAATCAGGAAGAAAAGATATTTCATTTTATCGCATAATATACAGGGTGTTCCATTAAAAAAAGTTGAAGTTGTCTACGTTTTCCATTTTCCGATGCGATTTTGTTTCTTCTGATAACGTTTAAAGAAAATATAGAAAAAACTGTCAAGTTTTGTATTTAAAATTTTTCTCTATCTGAATAAAAGTAAAGGATGGGCTTAAATATAATCAAATACCCTGTATATCCATCTTAATATTTGTGGGGGTTTCGCGCTAGCAATTTGCGGCGACTGCGTGCGCATTATCAGTAAGCATGGAGCAGTGGTCGAACGAGCAACGCGCGTTTATGATCCAGGTATTTTTTTAAATTTAAAGGCGGTTACACACGGGCGTGGATATCTGGAAACATGTGTGCACTTACCTGATCGCGCAAACAAAAACATCAATGTGTATGCAAAATATCGTGGCGTTTTTGAATGTGCAAGCGGTAGAATGACGCTCAAGTGAATTCTGGAATCGCTAGAAATTTTGTATGCACATATGGAACCCTGTAGCAAGAATGACAGTTTTGATGGTTTTGTCAAGTTTTGTGCAAGCGTCTGTACAAAGGCGACATGCACGTTGTTGTTTGAACGTCGATGTTTGCACGTATATGTATCAAGCCATCCACGCCCGTTGTGTAACCACCTTAAAAAACGCCTCGACCATAAACGCACGTTGCTCGTTCGACCACTGTTCCATGTTTACTGTCACTGATAATCCGCAGTCCGCACGCAGTCGCTGCCGCAAAATGCCAGAATGCCAAAATGACCCCCCCCCCCCCCCCAACGCACAAATATTAAGTTGGTGGATGTACAGGGCGCGTTCGAAAAGGGAAATTTATTCTAAGTCACCCTGTATAAAAACCTAGTGAATATTCAACAACTGAATGTTTTTTGAAACTCAAAGAATGTGATAAAAAAAAATTCAATTACCTACCTATTTAATGTATCATTACTCAATTTCCCTAACTTTTTAAAATGTGCTTTTTTTTTGTAGATGAATATTTTTCTAAGAAATTTGTTACATGAAGATTTTGATATGTCAGCGTTTGGATTGGTTTCAATTAATTTTGCGCTCATGCAATCTGTAAGTATATTTTTTTCAAACTTTAATTGTTTATGGGGATCGAACAGGTAACCTGAAGGTTCGCTAAAAGCTTTATGTGATTTTTGGTAAGACCTTGTAGACATATTTTATGATCTGATATATCTACAGAGTGGTATTATTATTATTACTTATTTATTATTATTTGTGTTATTATTATGGAAGTTAGAGAGATATTGCAAATTTCCCAAAAAGACTGGGAGTTGATGCCTTATTTCTAACCTTAAAATTTTTGTTAATGTTTATTTTTTAAGTTTTGAACTTGAAGTGTTTTCTTTCTGTGGAATGTACTATGTTTAGATATTTCGAAAATAAGAAAATTATTTTTTCAAAATATTTAAATAGTACGTGTTAAATCGTAGAACAGTGGAAGGAATATGACACAAATTCTTTAAGCAAAACCAGTTCATCGTTAGGCGTAAACCTTAGTTTGCCTCTTTTCTGTGCGTCGATCGATGCTGTTTTGATTTTGCTCCATTTCTCAAAGTTTGGAAGAAAAAAAATCAAGAAAAGTCAAAATTTGTTGTCATGAATCTAAAATCTATGGTTATAAACACAAAACGCAACAAAAATCAGTTCGCGATTGCTACCGATCATCGCCGCGATCGACTAAGAACTTTTAAATAAGGCAAAGATAAGGCAGGTCTTATTTTCTCCTAAATAAGGCAGATCCTTATCCTTAATAAGGCTGTCCTTATTCAAAATTGAAACTGCGCATGCGCAGCTGTCGAAATAAGGCATGCCTTAATAAGACAAGCACTTGCAATATCTCTGTATTGATACCTAAATGCTTTATGGGAAAATTTGAGATAACAAATATTGTATGTATAGGGCGGAACCGGTTTCATTTTTTTGGGATGCCCAATAAATACAAACTAGGTACCTCAAAATTCGAATTGTCAATTTCAAACCTCCTTTTACTCGATCCACTTTAAAAAAATTATGTTTGGATGCAAATTTGAACGAATTACTTATACAGTACATTTATCATTGTAGATTTTGGGATCAGTTGGAATCTATGTAACGATGTTTATCCAGTTTTACAACGAGCCGATAGATAAACTTTGGATAGGCGATAACCGTTCTGCATCGAATTCAACCAAATCTACCTAAAAAACTACAAAACTGGAATTTATTTCACAATGTTGTATTGTTGTACTATTGTTATCATAAATATGTAAGCAATTTTGTTCTTTCAATAACAACTACATGATACAAAATTTCACACGGAAGCTTTTTCTTTTCATCAAGAAAATATTTTAAAGACCCAGGTAAGTACTCACCTACTGACCAGTCCGAAGCAACATAAACACACAAAACTAAACACAAACGACGCATCATCAGATGAAATTACCACAAACCTATATAAACAATTATTCTAAACCATAATAATTTAACAAATCCTCAATGGGTAATTATTTATGGAAAAACCAGCGAATGCAGGTTGGTTTCTGCCAAAACAACAACATCTAATTAGTCTAACTGTGATATAATAATAGTTGGGATTTGCATGAGACTGTCTATAATATGTTAATATTCTCGTTTCAGTAATGAAGGTGAATCTTTAAAACCAAGGTTAGTTTGGGGCCACCGTCAAAAATGAAATCCTTGAGGCGGTTTCTGATTTTTTTTCTGCTGAGGTCATCCCATCAGTTAAATGTGGTTTGTTTTTGCCTGGAGCTGAGACGTGTTGTTCTTATTTGATGCGATCATAATCATGCTGATTATATCAATCAATGTTTGTTAATATCATTGGAAAAAAATTATCTTGATAATATTGCTCATTAGATGAGATGTTACAGGGCTTAACATCTAGTAATTTTTAAAAGTTGGTATTTGACAGTATTATTGAACTTGCAAGGTTTGAAAAAAAAAATTGACTGTTCAAAAAAATAAAAATAAATAAATGTAGGTACGCGAAAAAGGCCTATAATAGTTCTTTTGCAATGTGTTCACAAATCGTCCATAAACATGAAGTTCTGAAAAAATAGTTTTGGAAACTATTGTTGTAGGACGTTTTTAATACCAACAACAGCAAACGTCTAATAAACGTTTTTTGAATGTGCATGTCAGAGTGCTTTCTGTAAAGGTATAAAAAGGTCGTCTTTTAGATGAATAAAGTTGTTTTCAGAACCTCCGCTAGAAACAATTAATAAAGAAAGTTTTTTGTAAGTTCATAAAAGTATGTTTCTATAAAAAGTCATAAAAGAGACGGTTTTTATACGTTTTTACAAATCATTTTTATCAACCTTTACCAAAAACGTCCCGAGAAGGTTTTTTTTTGGATACTGAAAAGTATGTCTTCTTTAACCATATCTTTGGCGCCGCCATGGTCAGCACTACGAAGGACTCTGGTCCAAAAGGCTGTAGCCTGGCCGGCCCTCCTAGCCAGAGCATCAGCAGCCCCATTGCCTTTGCTGTGATCATTCATGTTCTCTTTAATGCAGGTGACTACCACCGTGTTTTTTTATCGACGCCTCTGTGAGGGTACGGTGGCAATGTTGTAGGTACTCGTTCCGACGTAAGTCATGGTCTAGATTCTAGATAGAGATAGTACTGCTTGTCTGCAGTTCGTGTGGATGTGCACGAACTTGTCAGTTATATTGTTACTGACGGCCCGGTTGTACAACAGATGTTCAACCGAAAATCACACTGACTAGTGGTTCAAAGGAAAAAACTCGTTGTACATGGTCTGTTCAGCCTGTGAACTAAGGTTGATCTTGAACGTCCGAATTTTGGTGTTCAAGGGAAGTTCAACTATTTTTTTGGGTTTTTCTAACCTCAATCTCCTATGTTTTGTTTGTTTTTTGATGGATGAGGGATCACTATGGCTTTTAAATATTTTATTTTTTGTTTCAAGTTGATATTCGATTCGGTATTTGTATTTAATTAAAATGGATCTTGAGCGGGAACTAAGGGAAGATATTACGAAGATTTTTAAAAATTATTTAATAATGTTGCACACCCTCGAGCCCCGCAGATATTCAGAAATCGAACAATCATTTGAATTTGAACATTTGGAATATGTAATAAAGAATAATTCAAGGACAGATTCAGGTTGGAGAAATTTGTGAGATTTATCATAGATGAAATTTTGCATCTGTGATCTGTCCTGTGTGTAACAGAAATATGAAAATAAAATTAAATAAATAGAAAACAGGAGAACACACAAAAAATAATAAATAACTTTGAAAGATTATCGGTTGAGTTGCGCCTATTTACAAGCTTTTATTTAACTTCACCTGTATGTATGTATGTATGTAATCAAATCTTGCAACTCATTTTTGAAGAACTTCCAAACATCCGATTGACTTCAAATTTCGCATAGCGTCTTAGTTCCGATGACAATACAATAATATGGTTTCATCGGGTACCTACCTCCCCCCAAAGGTGGGGGGTGGAGAGGGGGTAAAACTTTAGTTTGTCCGATTTCAACCAAAATTGGTATCTGGGGGTTTTTGAGGATGATAATTACGAATTTTTGATCAGATTACAAAAATTCAATATGGCGGATTCAAAATGGACGATTTAATGTCAAGTTTTTCTGATTACTTTCAACTGACTCCCACGTATCCGATTGACTTCAAATTTCGCATACCGTTATAGTTCCGATGACAATCCAATAATGTGGTATCACTGACTGCCTACCTCACCCCTAACCTGGAGGGCGGAGAGGGGGTAAAATTTAAGTTTCTTGGATTTCCACCAAAATTGGTATCTGGGAGTTTTTGAGGATGAGGATTACGAATTTTTGATCAGATTACAAAAATTCAATATGGCGGATTCAAAATGGACGATTTAATGTCAAGTTTTTCTGATTACTTTCAACTGACTTCCACGTATCCGATTGACTTCAAATTTCGCATACCGTTATAGTTCCGATGACAATCCAATAATGTGGTATCACTGACTGCCTACCTCCCCCCTAACGTGGAGGGCGGAGAGGGGGTAAAATTTTAGTTTGTTTGATTTCCACCAAAATTGGTATCTGGGGGTTTTTGAGGATGCGGATTACGAATTTTTGATCAGATTACAATTTCCTGCCAAATACAGTTACGGCACAGCCGAGCGAAGAATGTTACCTATAGTCTTATGCTGGGCATCGACTGTTCATAAAATGCAGGGTAGTATTGTTGATTATGCTGTGATTTACTTGGGACCTAAGCTTTTTGCTCCTGGTCAAGCTTATGTCGCCTTGAGCCACATCAAATCGTTGGACGGCCTTCTCATCGAAGACTTAGATATTTCAAAATTGACAGGAAAGACTCCCTGCAATATCGATGCGCTAGCTGAAATGCATAGACTTAGACAAATCTAAAAATTAAAAAATAAATTTAGAAAAAAAAACTTTTTGAAAACAAGCTTTTATAAAATGGACTAAAAAGCATAAAATAATTTTTTGAGTGTTATGATATCATAATAATAAAAGCGATGGGCGTATTTAATATTAGGTAAATGCCTTTCCATGCGCATTTGGTGAATCGTCCACAACCGATGATGGGCCGACTCTTCTTTTTCAATGTGACAAAATAAATCGACGCGGATGATCTGCCTAATATGAAGCAGGCGTAATAATGTCCATCCATATCAGAAAAATGTAAGGTTACCTTGAGTAGGGTTGGGTTGAGTTGGGTTAAATTGTCTACCCTTACATTTCTCTGCTATAATATAATGAATTTGGATTTTCACTAAACTTCGAGTTAACAAGGCTAAAACAAAAACGGGTAAATTTCCTTTAATACGCCCATCGCTTTTATTATTATGATATCAGAACACTCAAAAAATTATTTTATGCTTTTTAGTCCATTTTATAAAAGCTTGTTTTCAAAAAGTTTTTTTTTCTAAATTTATTTCTTCCTTCTTTTTATTGTGGGCATTGCAACTAATAGTTCTGTGGTACAACACTCGAAACTCTGAACCACGTTCAACAGTGAACTGCAGTTCAACAGAACTTGTGTTGAACCATTATTTGTACAACCGGGCCTAACGGGTCTTCAAAAAACAGTAAATCAAAGATAGCTATGGGTTTTTGAATGTATGTCTTCGCAATATTTTTCTTTAATTTTGTCACTGTAATGTCACAAATCCTGACCAATAAACAAACAATAATGCGACGTACGTTTTGGTGATCAAAGCACTCTTTGATTTAAAAAAAAAAAAAATCTGTGATGGTATGCCCGTTCAGAGGACAGGTTCAGTTCGAGGGCTTTGGAGTATACTCCGCATTCCGAGCCTTTTTCAGTTTTGGATCTTTCAGTGTAGATGTTACTTACCCCTGCCACTGTGTTGTTACTAATCCCTTTCGTGTTGATTGCGTAGTGCTTTTTGAAGACGAAATATGGCGTTGCAGAGTCAGAGTCCACTCTGGCTTCCAAGAGTGGATGCGAGTTCCTTGCCTCGCGCCATATGCGGGCTCTCTGTAAACCGACTTCTGCACTTGGTTCTATATTGTTCTATATCAACAGTGCGGAAGCGCATCATTGTGGTTAAAGCGACCTCCTTCACATAAATGTCCAGGGGCGTCAAACATAGAATTACTTCCAAAGCCCTAGTTGGTGTGGTTTTCCTTGCACCCGTTATGTTGAGGCATGTCATTCTTTGAACGTGGTCTAGTTTTCGGCTAATAGTAGTCTGTTCGGCCTTATGTCCCCAGACAATAGCCCCATAGGTGAGCATAGGCCTGATGATGGTTGTGTAGATCCACATAACTACCTTGGTGGAGAACCCCCAGGTCTTACCGATGCTACGTCGACACTCTTCATAGGCGATATATTCTTTTTGTATTCTCTTAGTGATATGAAAGTTCCAAGTTAGTTTGCAGTCGAGTGTCACTCCTAGATAGTTGACCTCGGTAGCAAAGAGGCTGGGTGCTGGTGCTGGCGGAAGTACCAGTTTCCTTTTTCTTGTGAATAGGACCGTTTTAGTCTTTTTGGGGTTGATGGACAGAGTGTATTCCGTGCACCATCTTTCTATAATTCAAAGAGCATCTTGCATGCGTTCGCAGAGCGAGTTCTCGAATTTAGCTCTTTGCAGGATGACTACGTCATCTGCGTAAGCTTTTGTGTAGTGTTTGTCATTGTTTGGGCGGACAATGAGGCTGTCCAGAACCATGTTCCACAGAAGAGGTGATCGCACGCCTCCTTGCTGGCAGCCTCTTTTGACCATTCCTTTATTGTTGACGTCCTAAACACTTATCAGTACGATTTCTCTTGGAAAGTATATTTATCCATCCGTTAACAGTTTTCGGAGTATTCCTGTCAGCTAGCGAGTGGCTTATTTTTTGAAAGGTGGTTTTGTAAAAGGCCCCTTCAATGTCGATGAATACCCCGAGGGTAGACTCTCTATTGTCCAGCCGTTTTTCCACTCGCCCAACAACCAAGTGGAGGGCCGTGTCCGTCTACATGTTGTTTCCAAGGTTGTTTGTAACTGTGACATTTGCAATATAAAAAAGTGTATTGGAGTGGACGTTCCAAAATATTTTTGAAAAATATCTTTTTTCAAAGCGTTTTTGAAACGTTCGTATTAAGGCGTCTTTAAAACGTCCATTTTCGACGTCTGTATGGCATTTGAACTTGTGACGATTGGACTAAAGAAAAACGTCCTGATGTTTTAGAAACTTTTGACGTCCGAGTCAGAGGAAAAATGGCTATTTTGCCCCATACATAGCTGATCTTGAGCTAATTTTAATTTCAGAGAAAAATTCAAAAAAAGACCCAGAGGGCAAAAAGGAAAATTGCTCACCAGCTCAGAGGAAGAGACTGGCTACACACGATTGGATGATACAAATAATCAAATAATCTCTTCTTCTGGTTCGTGGATTTTTGTGTCTAAGGAATAGGATAATTTAGAAGTTTACTTGAAATTCTACTACCCGCTACTGAGAAATCAACCAATTTACTAATATGATTTTATTTGCACGCCAGGAAATTAAAATCACTGTAAATTCTAAAAATAAATATGTTTAATTATCCTTAAACCTAATCACAATGGGTAATAATTATTAAAATAAAACATGGCCACATCTTATGGGTTATGAGCTGTGTAAGTAGTAATTTTTCCATTATCATTTATAGTTGTGGAAGCTTCGCGGAAATTTTGAGGCTTTCCATTAATATTGCTACTGATACTTTTACTGGAAGTAAATACGCTTTTGAATCCACCATTATTTCCTTGTTGTGGTGAGTCTGCACCACCAAAACGGGTGTTGATATTGGGAGAACCCTGCAATAAAGTTTTAATAAGACTTATGATTTAAATAATTAATCTTACTGGATTTTCTGGATAAACGGCGGCAGATTGGTGACCTCCATTGGGACCAATAGATCCGCTAGCATAGGCAGCTCCGCTTCCTTCTCCTCCGATGGGGCCACCGAATGAGTAACTACCACCAGGTCCTAACAATATTTTTGAATTAAAGTTACCTAGTTTTTAATACTACGAGAATGTCTTGTCTCACCGCTAAAGCCTCCTCCATATCCTCCAACAAAGCCACCACGATTTCCTAAATCGACACCATGTCCACCAGAATAGCCTCCAGCTCCACTAAAAATTCATATAAATATAGCAATTTGATTAAGGAAGCTAAAACAAATCAAAACTTCTCGAGAATGGCAATTTCCGCGAAAAGGAAAGATTTTTGGTTTCTTTTATAGCCAATATAAAATCCCAAAATACGGTCATTTTTAAAACACTATATATTTCTCTCACACAACCATAAATGTGAATAGTGAGATTTATGAATGATAAATAAATATAGATATTTAAAAATCCTACCTTGATTGATAGGATCCTTGATAATTAGGGGCATAGCTAGCTGCTCCACCAGCTTGACCTTGTCCGCTGGATAATCTTTGAATTCTACAAAAAGATACATTTTGAAAAGTGAAAACATTGTATGCAAGACTAAAAAATATTAAAAGCAGCAATATTTTTGATGATCTTTAGATAAGCTTTTTTTTGGCTCCGAAATGAGGAACTAGGGTCGGAGAGAATTCTCATCTAGACCTATGCGATCGTCGATTTGTGCATGAAGAGTTTACTGTATTTGATTAAAAATATAAGCATAAACGCTCATCTTCATGTGAAAGAAAGATCCTTATCACATTCTAGAGTCAAGCGCCAAACAAGACAAGACTCACAGCTTGCTGAAGGTTGTACCAAAGTTTGTTGTACCTACCCGATGTGCATGAATTTTCTTCAATTAGAATTTAATTTTTTTTATTTGTCTAGATCAAATATCTGCAAATGGTTTGTGTCAATAATAATAATCGCGCGCCATTTCTGTCTGTCAAGCGTCAAGTCGGCCATATTTGGCATGTATTAATTATTGTAAAAAGTCATTACAGAAATGGACAAAACACAGTGACAAAACGCAGATTACGTGAAATTTTCGGCGTACATAATCGTCCGTCGCGGCCCACTGTTGTAAATTTGATCAACATATTTGAGGGAAATTTGGACTGAAAGACGAGACTAGTGTGAGGCGTCGTCGTCTTGGAAGGTCTGCTGAGAACATCGCCCGCCGTGAGAGCTAGTGTTACCGAATATCCGACCACTTCCATCCGGCATCGCGGCCGGGAATTAAACATCAGTCGCAATACGCTACAACGAATTTTGATAACAGATTTGCATCTTCTGCCTACAAAATACAGTTGACACAAGAACTGAAGCCAAGTGCGCCTCATCGCCAAAGATTATTTTTTTCTGGAATACATCGTCAACTTCGTGTTCATGTTGTACCAACATCCAGTTGGCAAAGTTTCTGCGCTGTCTATGATCGGCTGTCTTCAGCTCTGGTGTATTGTACCATGAAAGCATGAGATGCAAATCCTTTTTTAAAACTCGTAATTCCTGTCTGCGATACCGGATGGAAGTGCTTGATGTTCGGTAATACTGGTTCTCACGGCGGCGATGTTCTAGGCAGACCTCCTAAGAGTTACGAGATGACGACGACGCCTAACACTTGTCTCGTCTTTCGGTGCAAATGTCCTCTCAAATTTGTTAATAAAATTTTCAACAGTGGGCCGCTACGGACGATAATGTACGCCGAAATGTTTACTTAATCTGCGCTTTGTCACTGTAAAGTTTTCCCCATTTCTGTAATGAGTTTTTACAATTAATAAACGTCAAATGTCAATGTTTTCACTGAACGCATTCCGAATATGACCAACTTGACGCTTGACAGACAGAAATGGCGCGCGATTTACAATTCCAGTTCTGCTGATAGTACTGTTCAAAGATAATTCTACCTAAATTGCATCAATATACCAAATCGATGAGAATTTATAAACATGAATCATTATACAGTGATAACTTCGGAACACGTCATCCAATTTAATTGAAATTTTGAGGATCTAGGTAACTTTTTGTGCCGCTTCTACCATTGTCATCCAGTTTCACCACTTTCGCATCAATTTCGGTCAAGTGACGTCAACTTTCGAATTTTGAATTTGAATGTAACTCATGGTATATTATGGCATTTTTCGTTAGAAAATTAAATTATAAAATCCGCAATGCCACATTTGTTGAGGTTTTGTTGAAGAAAATGATAAAAACTTATACAGTGGAACATACGATGATGCGTTCCAAAGTTATTATTTGCGAAAAACCTCGTGGGACACCCTGTATAGGTAGGTACAAAAGAAAAAAAAAACAAAAATGTCAAGTTTCATCCTGGTAATTGAAATAACTGAAGGCGAGTGATTTTCAACTGAATATTCGTCCTAAACCTACAAATACAATCAAGGTCTTCAAATTTCGTTACAACCTAAAATCATAAAATCTGAACAATTGTCACATGAGAAAAATAAGCATTGCGTATTGTGTAATTTTGGCCGTGTTCAGAACTATACAAACTGATCGTTTGATTCTGATTTTTTCTTCAAAATTCTAATTGGAAAACTTACCCATTACCAGGGATGTTATCAAAGAAAATAGATGATTGACCTCCCGCATTTCCACCATTATAAGCAGAAGAATAGCTATAGGAAAACCCATTACCATTACCAGCACTGCAGAGAAAAGCAGCCATTTTTTATTAGTAAGAAAATAAAATTATGGTAGGTAGACAAAAAAGATAAATATTTGTTTTGGTCTAATTAAGGCTTACTGTTGGATAAATTCCTGATGCTGTTTATTGAGCTGATCAAAAAACGAAGAAAAATCAAACTGCGGTACAAAAGCACCGAAGTTTGGAAAACCATTAGCACCAGTTCCGGAAAAACTTCCAGCATAACCGTAGCCTCCGGCTCCTGTTCCTGCACTACTCATACTTGAATCATGACCTAGGTGATTTTCTGAATTGGAAGAATCTGAAAAAAAAATCTGTTTAATAATTTGATGATCTGACGAACTGTTACGCGTGGGTTTAAGTTCAAGTTCCCAGCGAAAGCAGATGATAAAAATATGTATTTCAAGCATTAAGTTCGGTTTTCGGTATCAAATCCAGTAATAAAGTCAACAACAAAACTCTTATTGATGGAACAATGAAATAGAACAAATCATCAACATAAAACAAAGTCTATTTAAACTGAAAATACAATGTTGATAAAATTAATAATAAGGTACCTACATAGAGGCGCAACGGAGAGTTTGTAGGAGAATTATCCAAAATAAACTTGGAAAAGGTATATCTAGGATCACTGAGGGCGGGTATTATAAAACTATTCTGACAAATAACTTCTGGAATTATTATGAGAAGTAGGTAGCGTCATTCCAGAAGTTAACTTTTAGTTATTTTGTCAAAATAGTTTTATAATACCCGCCCTTAGGCAGAGAAACACAGACAAGTCGCACAAACCTACTTCCACTACGTAGTGGAATGAAGGGGCGAAGGTACGTTAAGAATAAGATCTAGCTGTCAGAAGTACGTGGTGTAAATTAGAAAATGAGTCGAGGAATAGGATAAGACCAATTTGTAATGCTACTGTTCAAAACATATTTATTATTGTGTCTTAACACTAAAAAAATCAAAACCCGTTTCGTAAATCCTCCTATATTAACGGTAGATAGTTGTCTTCATTAAGAAACAAGTAAATTTATAAATTTATTCGGTTTTTAAAATAATAAAAATTGTGTTAGGTATGGGAAAAATTTTAATGAGCTGTAATTCCCCTTGCATAAACCTCTGCAGTACATTAGGTGAATCGGATTTAAGATGCAAATTAGCCTAATTTAATTACCTACTAGATCCTCATCAATAATGAACAATAAACAGCATTTTTGTAGACAGAAATTTTAATGTTTAATACCTATATGAGATAATAATGAGTTTTTTCAACAAATGGAATTTTAAAAACTTGTAAACTTTTGCCATGTCTGGACTTTGTATTATGATTAAATTGCTACAAAATTCTGCTATTCAAATCTGTAGAGCCAAATCTGGCGCGCATTAAATAATAAGTTTTTGTTTGTTGTGGTTGATATTTTGCCAATTAAGTACCAACTACAAAGAGTGGAGAATAAGAAACTTCTCTAAAAAAGAATCAAGTAGGTACATAAATAATATGATGAGGATAATTTATATTTTCACATTCCTCTTAATATGAATGCACAGGTATTCATGCCCATTCCAATTATATCATTGATTAATAATCCTTTATAAATAACTTTAACCTTTCTTTGAAAGATTATCTTCAACCTTGTTTTTACTTAACATCAATACAATTAGTTATCAATCAAATCAATTATTGATTGTCAACAAACTTACCAGAGTAGCCAGGTTTTGCATCGCAAAATGCAATTAGCCCAAACACGAACACAAAAATCATATTTCACTCAAATTCGTACAGCAAAAACTTCTGAAATGATTTCAATTTACGAAAGCCGGCAAGTTTTATGCAGGTAATTTTGTTTAAAAACAGTGGCGTGCGAGGTTATATGTAAGATTTTCCAAGACGAAGAACAAGGCCAGCTGTTTGAACAAGTTCGGATAAAAATAATGCACTAAAATTATTTTATTCATTATTGCAGTGATAAATATGCTGGCATGCAAAATTATCGATAAACAATTAATGTAGTTTTTATAAACAAAGTTCAGGGATATTTGGCATTACGTTGTCGAGTACAATTAAAAATAATACAAAACTAAATTTAAGACGCGCAAAATTCCTCTAGTTTTTCTATTTTCCTATTTATTCATGTATCATGTTGTAGTGTTTCCAGAGTAGCTGAATTTTGCAAACCTTTCAAGGAGGGAACAACAAAAACAAACAAAAATCCTCAGGTGTTTTTTTTTAGCAGTCCTATTCTACAATCTTCATGTTGAATTTTGGTTTAATTAAAACAAAACTCGTAAGGGAAACCCTATTTAAAAAAAAGTAGCTCTACATAAACTACAGCTAATGGACGACAAACTAACAGCTTCTTGCGCGCATATTTATTTACAAAATAAGATTTTCCACTACATTCAAATAGCACTCTTCAAATATAGGTACACATATTGACTCATATGAATAAAACAGAAGCAAATGCTTTTGCTCAAGTTTTTCGAGATAAAAATATCCAGCTTTAATGCAGCGAAAAGAAACGGAGGTACTGTAGTGTAAAAACATCTGCTACACTTTATTCATACGACTGATTATGTAGATTCAAAAGTTTTGCATCACTTTGTATTTATACGAAGAATTTTTTTAGCAGCAGCAGTTTTTGTGAACTTGTTTGTCAATATTTATTTTTCTGAATCGTCAAATATTTGTTGCCCGAAAAATTTTTTTTGTCAATTCACACTTTTGGTGCTTTTTTTCTCAAGACAGTTAAATTTTACGAATTCACGAGCAAAGAGGCCTCGACAAGTCATAAGTGAGACTGCGACCGTGCAAGAATAGTGGCTTTACTTGAAGAAGGTTATTCACAAAGGTTCGTGACTGATAGAGTTGAAGTGTTTGGCAAAGTGATGTGTCTCGCACCTGGAATCGCTATCTCCAGAATAATTCTCTTCGTGATAGACCCAGAAGCGGTAGACGACGTGTCACTAATCAACAACAGAACCGTTATATCCACTTAACTACCGGAAGAAACCCGGCGACCATGGCAATATCAGCACTCCAAAGAGATATGCGTCATGCCTTGGGAGCTCAAGTATCGGTCTTTACATTGCGGAGACGAATACTCGCGTTAGGTTTGAGATGTCGCCGACTAATGGGAGTACTCAGAGTACCTCGACTACAACCTGAGCACAAAGTTCGTCTACTACAGTGTGCTCAAGAGCACGTGGCTTTACGTGCAGCATTTTGGAACTCGGTATTTCTTTCAGACGAAACAAGAATTTGTTTGGTGCCGGATAGTGTGATATACATGTAGGGAGAGAGCCAACAAGAGCGGCCTAGCTTGCTTATGCACGCCCTGTGCCACCCTTTGCAGGAGGAAATGATATGTTCTGCGCTGCTATCATGTGTCTGATGGTCGCACAGAATTAATTCATGTTCAAGGCACAATGACTGGAGACAAATACATTAGAGACATTCTAGATCCTTACGTAAGGCTATGGCGAGGAGCTGCTTGTGATGTTTTTGTTTTTATGGACGATAACGCCCGATCTCACTGTACCAGAGCTGTAAATGAGTATCTGGAAACGCAAGGCATTAATCGTTTGGACTGGCCCGAACTATTGCCAGACATGAATTCCATAGAACATGCTTGCCAGGGCAGTGGCTGCACGCAGACACCCATCCAGGGCTCTACAAGTGCTTGTTCATGCTGCTCGGGATGAATTACAAAATAATCCTCAACAACATTGTGCAATAAAACACATATAGTCAAATTTTTAGCTGGTTTATTAGCTTAAGTTACAAATTATTTTTTAAGAGCAAAAAAGAGGTTGGCGTCGTTGGCGACCGTCTCGAGTGCTCTCATTGGTTCAAAAGCAGAATGCTGGTTGGCTGAAGGCTGGCTGACAGATGACTTCATCTTTTTTAAAAATGACAGCGGAACAGCGTTGCCAGTGCTAATTTTGATTGGAGTAGCACGGAACAGTCGGAACATGAACCTCGAACGGATTAATACAGATCAGTCGGAACATGCCGCCCCTCTTGACAGCCGAAGGCTTCAATTTGCGTCATTGGTAGCATCCTCTTCTTGGGAAGGCAATATGCAAAGTTTAACTGCGGGCCTCTTCAAGATGGAAGAAGCAGTTTTGACAGTAGCAGCACGAATAAAGCCGTCACTTCCAGGGTGGACTTCAGTCACTCTTCCAAGTTGCCATTTTAGAGGTGGCAGGTTGTCCTCCTTGATTAAAACCATTACACCAGGTTGCAGCAGGTTCGGGTAACTTTTCTTCCATTTGGAACGCTGTTGTAGTTCAGAGATAAACTCCTTAGACCATCGTTGCCAAAAATGCTGGGTAATTTTTTGAAGCCTTTGAAACTTGGAGAGTCGTGCTTCATTTAGCTCTACATAATTGTGGTCAGGAAGAGAAGTAAGGCATTCTCCAACCAAAAAATGTGCAGGAGTAAGGGGATTTGGATCTAAAGGATCAGTGGTTAAGGGAGACAAAGGGCGAGAATTAAGGATGGATTCAATTTGAGTTAAAACTGTCGCAAATTCTTCATAATTTAATATAGAATTAGTTAAAACACGCTTGAGATGATATTTTAGCGACTTGACACCGGCCTCCCAAATTCCTCCGAAGTAAGGTGCCTTGGGCGGAATAAAATGCCATTTAACATTGATACTACTCAAGCCAGTTTGAATTTCATTTTTGTGTGAATATAAAAATTGATCAATTTCATTCCTTGCGCCGAGAAAATTTGTCCCATGGTCAGAATAAATATTTGCGCTAATTCCCCTTCTAGCAAAAAATCTGCGTAAAGCAGCTAGAAAAGCGTCAGTTGACAAATCACTTACGAGCTCAAGGTGAATTGCTCTAGTCACAAGACACACAAAGAGACAAACATAAACCTTTATCTTTTTATAATTTCGTGTGGATCTATCCTTAATTAGAAAATAGCCACAAAAATCAATGCCAACGTTGAAAAAGGCTCTTTTAGGGGTAACTCGGAAATTGGGCAAATCTCCCATGATATGTTTAGCTGTTACAGGATTGAATCTGGAACAGATCACACAATTTCTCACTGTTTGTCGGACCAGATTTCGTCCCGATATTGGCCAGTAACGCTCTCATTGAAGAAAGGACAAGTTGAGGTCCAGCGTGAAGCAATCTAACATGTTCATGTTTTGTTATTAATTTGGTAAAAACATGCCTTCCGCATAGCACTGCAGGAAATTTCTTTTCAAAACTGAAGTTTGAATGCTTCAAGCGCCCTCCAACTCTTATTATGTTGTCATTATCAAAAAAAGGATTGAGTCTAAGTAATTTACTTTTATTATTTACCTGCTTTGACTTTTTCAAGTCTAGCAATTCCTCAGAAAAAACTTGTTGTGCTAAGCGTATCAATGTTTTGCGAGAATTTTCCAATTCTTCGATATTTAAAGAATTCATTGTTCTTTGTTCTTTTGCAAGCTTAACGTTATGTAGGAATCTAATACAGTATGCTGTCACTCTTATTAACTTATTCAAAGTTGAAAATTTTTCAAATAAATCAAAGTTATTTGAAACCAAGGATACGAAAGATAGGGGTTTTATTTTACGTTTTTCTCGTTGAAATTCTGGATTCACAGAATCCTTATCGAAGTCGCAGTTAATGGGCCATTTATCTTCTGCATCACGAAGCCAAGCAGGGCCATGCCACCATAAAGAATTATTCAAAAGGGCATTAGGGCTCAATCCACGTGATATCAAATCCGCTGGGTTAACATGTGTATTCACATAATACCAACATTTGGGATGGGTGAGTGTATGAATCTGCGAGACCCGATTGGCAACAAATATTTTCCATTGTTGTGAAGATGAATGAATCCAAGATAACACAATCTTGGAATCACACCAGTAAAATACAGAATCGATATTTAAATCAAATGATTTTTTAACTCTCTCCGAGAGTTTGGCTGACAGCAAAGCTGCATAGAGCTCCAATCGAGCCACTGTGATGGTCTTTAAAGGTGCAACCCTTGATTTAGCACATAATAAATAAATATGAGCATTACCTAGTGCATCAATGGACCTCAAATACACACATGCTCCATAAGCTGTTTCACTGGCGTCTGAAAATGAATGAATTTCCAATTTTATAGGATTTTCACAGATGACATGTCGAGGAACCTTTATCAGATTTATTTCTTCAAGGCTAGATTTAAACCGTAACCAGATTGTATGAATTTCTAGGGGAACTGCTTCATCCCAATTAACCTTGGATTGCCACAATCTTTGTATTAAAATTTTTGAAATTACAACAACTGGTGCTAATAGACCCAAAGGATCGAAAATTTTAGAAATAGCTGACAAAATAGTTCTTTTTGTGATAGGTTTTTCAGGTATTGGTTTAATTGAATATTTTAGTATGTCCAAATTTGAATCCCAGATAAGACCAAGTGTCTTGCTTTCCTTGTTTTCTCCAAATTGTACGATTGAATTAATATTTTCTGAATCAGTGAAAATATCAGGACTATTAGAGAGAAATTTTCTGAGTTCAAAACCTCCAGAAAGTAATATTTCAGTGATTCGCATCTTAATAGACTTAACTTCCTCAATTGTAGCTCCACCTGTACATAAATCATCAATATAGAAATCCCTTGCAATAATTTTACTTACTTCAGGGTCAGAGTCTTGAAAATCTAAAGAAAGTTGTTTTAAACATCTAGTGGATAAAAATGCAGCAGGTGCCGTGCCATATGTCACAGTGTTTAATTGAAAGGTTTCAATTTTAGAAAAAGAATCATTGCGCCAAAGAATCAATTGAAGAGGTCTATGTCTCTCATTAATCAAAACTTGACGATACATTTTGGCTACATCTCCTGTCAGCATGATTTTATGTTGCCTAACCCTTAAGACAATAGAAAAAAGATCTTCTTGAATGGTTGGGCCTACTAACAAAATGTCATTTAAAGAGATCCCATTTGATGTTTTTGCCGAAGCATCAAA